TACACAACAGCTGCTGATTTTGAGGCGGGGAGCATATAATGTCCCTAGCACAGGGCATGCAGCCCAGGATGGAGTCAGCCTTACAAATAGTGCAGCTGGAGCTTTTTCTAACAAATTCCAAGGCAAGTTCAGAACCTCAGCTCAGCTAGACACACAACCCAGCCACAGGCTTCCTGGGACTCCTCTGTCTATATGAGTTTCTGAACCCCTCAGTGCCCTCTGCCTCGGGTATTATTTGGGCATGGGACCCTTGACTTTATCTGGGGCTCACCAGCTAGAAACCCTCATCTGGTCAGAGCTGGCATGTAGCAAGTTGAGGCTAGCTGCCAGACAATGCTGACCACATACCTGGAACTGAGGGCCACTTCTTCCTGATGGAGTGTGCTTACCCATTCACCCCTGGGCTACCGAAAAGTCCTTCTCCAAAGGTTGAGGGCCAGAAAGCCTTGAAGCTTTCCTGACCTGTCAAAAAGGGACCCTTCACCCACTCATCCTTCCCCTGCTCCCTTTCTTGGAGGGTCGTGCCTAGGGCCTGAGGAGTGTGGCATGCCCACTCTACAGCCTCTTACCTCCTTCAACAGAGCACACCTTGGCCTAACCATCTGCACGTCTTGTGTTTTTCTTGTCCAAAGAGTAGTCTTTTGGCTCTGAAAGTCACCCACTTTTGATTTTCCATGAAGTGGTCCAGGTTTGTGGTACAGCATAGAACTGCAGAGAGGCCTAGGGAGCCCAAGGGCCTGCCTAGTGGGGTTCAGAGCCCTGGCCAGGCTTAGCCTGGGAGGTTTGTATGTATGACATCTTCCTGAGTCCCGATACCAGCTGTAGACATCCTGCTCCTTACCTTAGAGCCCACACACACCTCCTAACAAGTAGCACATTCTCTAACATGGCCTCCTCCTGGTCAAATTCCAGAGACCCAGGTCCTCTGCTGCTGCACAGAGCCTGCAGTGCAGCAAGGGGTCTCCCCAAAGGCCAGTGCACCTGCCCGGCCTGGCCCAGTAAGCCAGCAGCGGCTGGAAGGGGTTCAATGGATGCTCCTTTGATAGGCCTGCTGAGGCAGTGCTTTTCAGCAGTTGTGTTGCTAAAACTTTTCCAAAAGTACCAAGGGGGCACACAGGACACCTATTTGCTGCCTTGGCCACCAGCTACCAAACAGCTTCTCCAGGACCCAAGAGAACCAAATACCATCTGGCGGCACACACCCTGCCTTGACAAAGTCTAACCCTGACCTCAAAGCCATGCCTAACTTTGCACAAGTTTCAGTTTTAAAGTATAAATTCCTACTTCCAACTTAATTTCTTTATTCTGGTTTCTTGCTGGGGATGGAACCCAGTGCCTTGCACATGCCAGGCACCATTTTTTTTTTTGGTACTGGGGATTGAACTCAGGGGCACCTAACCACTGAGCCACATCCCCAGCCCTATTTTATATTTTATTTAGAGACAGGGGCTCACAGAGTGCTTAGATCCTTGCTGTTGATGAGGCTGGCTTTGAACCCATGATCCTCCTGCCTCAGCTTCCTGAGCTGCTGGGATGACAGGCATGTACCACTGCGCCTGGCTGCAAGGTACCATTCTGATTTTGATTCTGGAAGTTCCTTAATGTGGTTTGAGATTTCAATCACAAGAAGAATTCTCTGCCTGGGGCCCCTGGGAATTCCTTGGCATGGACTTGGTCCCTGTTGAGCCCCTTGGTCTTGCTCAGCTTCTTTTGACCCTGGGAAGCCAGTGTCCTCCAGCTCTCTGCACACACTGTCCCCTCTGCCTCTTTTCCAGTGGACCTGCTCATCAGGCTCTGCTTAGGTGGTCCTTCCTACTGAAGGCCCTCTAGCCCCTGACCAGCACTAGGCACAAGGACCTGCAGAACTGTCCCGTCTTCCTTTCCTGTAGCACCAGAGTACAAAGTGTTTTTTCAATCCACCTGCTGCATTCGGTGTCAGAGGCTGGCCACACACCACTCAAGGGAGTGCCCCCAAATGCAGCCAGGGAGCCTCAGGAGGAGTTGGCCCACTGGCCACGAGTTGGAGTACGAGCGAAGGGAGAGTTTCCTAAGTGAGACGGTTGCAAACATCTGAAGAAGTCATACAAAGGCGATATCATGCACAATTCTGCCAGGGCCAACACAGCCTGGGGGCCAAACCTCCACCTCATAAATCAAAAGCAACATCTGGAATGGCAAGTGACAGGAAGGGCACCCTGCCTCTCCATGAATGTCTGGCTGCAACACAGCAGTTGGTACATGGCTGTGCCATTGCACTGAGGTACAAGCAGCTGCCACCTAAGGTCACCGGGTATGGTACAAGCAGCAACATGCACTCCTGCTTGATAAGGCAGGCTCCTGACATTAGTTCAAATGAGGCGGCCCCAATCATTCTTCAATGTTCACAAAGAACTGAGTTGTGATGACTGCTCCCCTCTTCAGGCTCCACGTTCAGCTCAATCATAGAACTTAGTGGCTTAGAGGGTTCTGGAAGGCAAATTAAAAAACCAAACAAACAAAAAGTCCAAATGTTTCCTTGAACATTTAATTTTCTTTTTTGGAAAGGAATAGAATATTACTTTTCATTTTGGTTCTGGGAATAGAACCCGGGGTGTTCTACCACTGACCCAAATCCCTAGTCATTTTAATTTTACTTTATTTATTTTTCTGATACCAGGGGTCACTTAACCACTGAGCCATACCCCCAGCTCCCCCCTGCCTTTTTGTACTTTATTTAGAGACAGTGTCTCATTGAGTTGCTTGTGGCCTCAGTGAGTTGCTGAGGCTGGCATTGAACCTGCTATCCTCCTGAGCCACTGGGATTACAGGCATGCATCACTACATGGAGACCATTTTATTTTAAATTTTGAGATAGGGTCTTGCTAAGTTGCTCAGGCTGGTCTTGAAATTGAGATCCTTCTGTCTCTGCTTCTTTCTCAAGTTGCTGGAATTATAGGCATGCGCCATTGTGCCCAGCAAGTAACAGAAACTTTTGAGAAAAAAGTGAACTGCGATGCTCTGTCTCATTTTATCCCTCTCAAGTTCTCTTGGGTGTGGTCCAGGCATACAGGGTGAAGGGGCACCAGGTATGGCTTGTGAACACCCCCTGCCATGGTGGCTGGTGGCTTGGAACCTTCCAGGTATCTAACAAGTGTAAAGAACCTATCTTGTCCCAAAATAAGGTGTGGCCTTGGTCCTAAGATCCTGCAAGGAATCTCTGAGCCCCTGAAATGTCATGCTCAACAGGGTAGCTTTGTTCCTCTGTGGCTTTAGGCCTAGAATGTCTTGAAGGAGGTTTAGGGTGGTAGCTCTGGGTCATGGGGCACCAACTTGACCTGCAGAGGTGCTGGAAGTCAGTCATATGGGCTGTCAGTCAGGTCTACTTGATCCCAGAAAATTCCCCCCAAAAGTTGAGGCTTTCCTGTTGAAAACACTTCATTGTCTCACTGTTCCTAGGAAAGCGCTGACTGCGGTTCCACTGGAAGCTCAGCTGGAGGCTCTCCTGGATGCCGCCCTGTATGCTTCTTCCTCTGGCTGACTTTGGTCTTCACCTTTTACAGTGACTATCTATAACATGAGTTTAACAGCTTCCAGTGCGTCCTGTATCCTTCTAGAGAACCTCAGAGCTGTAAAAGGGATGGGGACTCCAGACTTTCCCTGTCTTCACAAGGGACAGGTTGGCCCTATCCTGGCTTACCCTCGTAGTTTCAAACTTAGTTAAGGATGTCAGAAATATCTGCTAAATGAGTCAATTTTGTGTGTAAACACCATTGCTGAGGCTGGCTTTGAACTCATGATCCTCCAGCCACTGCTTCCCAAGCCGCTGGGATTACAGGCATGTGCCACCATGCCTGGCCCTTTTTGTTTTTGAGACAGGGTCTTGCAAAGTTGCTAAGGCTGGTCTCCAACTTGCAAACTCCCGCCTTCTGATCCCATGGAATTCCACATGTGCATCACCTGCCCAGGTGCATGCCCATTCCTTAGCTGATGTGTCCAGCTAGATCTCGTCTTGTGTGACCAGCAAATCACATTCTAGGGAATGGTGTTCTGAGCGCACACCAAGTGTTCCTCCAAGTCCACTCTGCAGGCTTCCCTTGATAAGTGCTGTGCCACTTGTCATTTCTCTATGGTCCCTCTTGGTCTGTCGGTAACTCAGTTTTTTTTTTTTTTGGTACAGGGGATTGAACCCAGGGACCGTATCCCCAGTCCTTTTTGAGACAGGGTCTCACTAAGTTGCCGAGGCTGGCCTTGAATTCGTAATCCTCCTGCCTTAGCTTCCTTAGTCACTGGGACTATAGAGTGCATCAACCATGCCCAGCAGGTAACTCCCAGTTCTGCAAATCCACCTGTTCCAGGAGGATGCTAGGCTATGTGGAAACCACACAGGGACCCCTGTGCCCCATGAGTCAGACAGAAGCAAGGAGTGCAGCTGAGTCCACAGCTGGTCTTCTTGGCACACTGGATGTCCTGCAACTGGACTGTCTCAACAAGTCAGTCCTTTCACAAAGCCTAGGAGTTACTTTCACCTTCCTGTTGATTTATCATCTCAGGTCCTAGGCTGGGAGAGGATTATGTAGGATTATGTTCAGCAACTGGGTGAGCCATTTTCTCGTCACATGCTAAACAGGTAAATATGATGCTAATGAGACATGGAATGGAAAATATAAAGAGAGTGTGTGTGGGGGGGTGCTGAGGATTAAACCCAGGACCTTGTGCATGTGATGCAAGCACTCTACCAACAGCTTTATCCCCAGCCCCAGAATAATAATTTAAGTAATATTTACTCTGAGAAACATCCACAACTTTTTTCTAGGTCTTTGTGTTATTGTTTAAATTGAGGTATCCAGACAGGAATGTTTTCACATCTATACCCAGAATTTTCCTGATATTTTTCCCCTATATAGAGGGTTTAACTTTCAAGTCCATGAATCACATACCTAGAAGTATTCTGTTGGCACTCTTTAGTGTCCTGCTTCCTGCACTCAAAAAGATAGGATTCCCCATATAGCTCCTCAGGAGGCTTAAAAAAAAAAAATCTCTGCATCGCAGGAATATGAGCATCTGTCTTCCTAAGGATGGACGCTGGCCTGAGTGATTCCTCTTTTGGGACCTTATAACCTCGTTTGTGTGGACATGCACTGGGCTCCTGGGAGGAGATGAAAGGATTAAATGCTGCTGAGAATGGCCCATTCCTGGAAAGCAGGACACAAGGTCCAGGTGCTGCCCACCTTGCCAGCAGGAGCCCTGGCCTTCCTGTTGGCTGTGGAGGCAGCAGCTCTGGTTCTGACGTGTACTTCCGGGCGCTGCGGTGTGCGTGTCATGAGGGCTGTGCCTCACCATGCTGAGCAGTGAGCAGCATGTCCTTCCCGGTGGCAGCTCTTCACATTCACTGTCGGTCTTCAAAGTAGCTTGTCTTTCCCAGTCTATGGAGTGGATCATCACTGTCATAATAAGAGTGTCCTTTGCGGAACATTCCTCATGTGTCCTGTTGAAAAGACTGCCTACTCAAAGGACATGAAGATCTCCCATGGTTTCTTTTAGAACATTGTTAAATCAAATTGGTTATTGTTCCTTCATGCAATCTGGTAGCATTTTACATACAGGCTTCCATCTTCAGAAAATCCTGGATTCGGTAGAAAAACCTTTGAAATGAAGTTTTAAATGAAGTTTCTGAAAACACTTTAACTTTGAACAAAGCACTGAACTACACAAATGCAGAATGAAAACAGCATTTTAACTCCACCAAAATTACTCATCATTAAAGGTGTAAAAGTCATCTAACTTCATTAGGCACAATTTATTTTTGAAATAGGAGACAATAAAAAATATTGTCTACCAACAATATCCCAGCTCCATGGCAGGTTTCAGAAAGCGTTCAACTTCATGCTTTAATAGTGACGAGGAGAGTAAGTTCAAGATCTGGAACGAGACTTTATCCCCCACAGCTATAGTAAGGAGAAGGTGACCACCTTCTGTAAAGTTGATGCCTATCTTGAGCAGGTCTAATCGTCGTCCTCCTCTGCATGATGTGCTGCAGCAGTCACGCTCAGCACTGCCTCCATCCTGTCCTTTGTGATCATAATCCCAACTGCACGAGCTGCCGCAGTTTGATCTCCCCATGCAAACTCCTGGTGTTGGGGTATGTGGTCATTTTGTTACAGAGACTCAATCTTCATTCCATTGACACATAGAACACTGCTTCTACCTTTCATTTTCTCTCCATAATCCACTTCAAAGGAATATATGTGTATCGTGGAAAGTGGGCGTCAAGAAGGCTCTTCTCTATGTAGATAATCTAAAACATTGGCAGGATAAAGCCCAGCCTATCTTCCTCACCGACCTTAAGAAGGTGTTCTTCACTGTGGTAATTTCAAGTTTCCTTCTCAAGAAAATCAATAGAGGGACAGCTCAGTGGCAGAACATGTGACAAGACCCTGGGTTCTGTCTCCAAAACCAAAATAAAACAAAACACCTCCGGAGGTCTGTCTATTTCATTAGATTTTTGCATATCCGCTATCTTATCCTTCTACTTCTTTCTTTGTGGAATCTGCCCCAGAGATACAAGTCTGCAAATCAGAGTCAATACATTTTTTCAAAACACCTACTATTATATTTTCAGATCTAGCTAGTGAACTTCATTATTTGTTTCTCTTCTGATACTAAATTAGTCTTTTTAAGGACAATTTGTACTAATTCAATGAGGTACCACAACCATCACCACTCCCTAAAATTCCACACTTGGGCATGATAGCTCACACCTTGATATTTTCCCTATGAAAGATCAAACTCTGGGATGGGGTTGTGGCTCAGTGGTGGAGTGCTTGCCTTGCATGTGTGAGGCACTGGGTTTAATTCTCAGCACTGCATATACATAAATGAATAAAATAAAGGTCCATCAACAACTAAAAAAATTAACAATAACTAGAAAAATTTTTTTAAAAAAGGGGATTGTAGCTCCGTGGTAGAGCACTTGCCTCACAAGCATGATGTACTGGGTTCAATCCTCAGCACCACATAAAAAAATAAAATAAAACAAAGATATTGTGTCCAGGGGCTGGGGCTGGGGCTCAGCAGTAGAGCACTTGCCTAGCACAGGTGAGGCCCTGGGTTCGATTCTCAGTACCACTTAAAACATAAATAAGTAAAATAAAGGTATTGTGTCCAACTATTAAAAAAAAAAATCAAACTCTGATGCTTAGTTTCTTGACTCACTATTTACTGTCACTATAAACTCAAACTGCATAAGTCTTCCATTATGGGGTCAGTCTTGGCTAGCATGGGTCAGAAAGAAGAATAAGATACCAAGCAGCAGAAAGCAGGGGGAGAGTGAGCCCCGAGGTGGCAGGGACGGACCTTCGCCTAGCTGCATGCACCTTGCCCTGAGAGGGAGGAACGTGCGTGTGTCTTCGTGGACAGCCACCAAGAAGCATTACTTGCACCCCTCCTCAATCTCACCAGGTCCCAGATCTATCTGCTGCTGTCAGGCAGGCCAACTAGACTGTCTCTTCCTTGGGGAACACTCACATGTCACCTCCTCTGAACCTCACACAGCTGCCCCTTCTCACTACTGTGTGTTATCTTCCCTTTCATGGCCATATGGCTGCATGCTTCCCTGTTCCAGAACGTAAGTGGTGTGACAAAAATCCACTGTCTGTGAAGGGCCTTTAACCACAACCCACACTCTGTACACGGGAGGCTGGAGCGCAAAGGCCCTGCCGCCCCTGCCCGAGCCCATCTTCCACTTACCTGTCCTTGTACTTGATCACGGCGTCCACGATCTTCTTCATCTTCTTGGTGAGGTTGGGTGGGTTTGGGGAGAGCTTCTCGGCAGGTGGCCGCCCTCGCTTTTTCTGCTTCTTGCTCTCGTCATCCTTGTCCCGGCTGCGGGTGCTGGTGGTCGGGGTGGAGGAGCCGGCATCGCTGTCCCGCTTGCGCTTCCGTGACGATTTCTTCTGCCGGACCTCCTCTTCGATCTCCTCCAGCGTGCCCTCCTCGATGGCCTTCAGGGTCAATAGTAGTAAAATAGGACAGCCAGCACCCAGGTTGACAAGAAGAGGCCGCGACGCACACTTGGGGCCCCGGCTGGGGCAGGGAGGAGGCCCCACACCATCATCCACCCAGTGTGGCTGGCTTGGGGTGCAGCACACACTGAGCCTTCTGGGTGGTTTCCAGGCAGTGTTCAAAGGCCCCCACTCAAGCCAGCCTTAAAAATCTGTCCTTTGCCAGTGAAGGGGGTCCTATCCCACCGTACTGAGACCAGGAGGGACATAATACTGAAATCCTCTCACCTGGAGCTGTCATGATCAACACTCTGCCAAATGCATTCCCACCAATTTTTTTCAAGTCGTGATAAATTACACAGAATATGGAACTGCTGATTTTAACCACTTTTAAGCACAGATCTCAAACATCACCACAGTCACCTTTAGAGCCTGTCTCCTCCTATTCCCCCACGTGCTCCACTGAGAACACCTGAACTGCCCACATGCCATGGTGCTGAGTCATGGATTTTTTCCTGTCATCGCCACAGAATGACTTTTCTATGTCTGCTCAGTCTGTCAGTGGACAGGTTAACCTCTGGCCTGTTCTTGGTATTTAGATTTCTTGGTTTCTCATTTTTGAAGATGGAACGTGCCAGGGTTCAGGCATGATAGGCAAGTGCTGTACTACTGAGCTATATCCCTAGACCAAGTTTTTCAAGTTGTTCCTCCACCCCCTTTTTAGGCTATTCTAAGTCAAGCCATGATTGACAGCTGACTCATTAACACAAACTCCTCGTGGTGAACTGCTGAGGTAAAGGACATGAGCCTGAACAGTACTAACCTTACAAGAATCCCTGACTATTAATTTTCAGTGATAATATTTAACTGGTATGTTTTATCCCAAGGGATGGGAAGCCAGGTTTCTAGGGAATCTTGGAATCAGAAATGCCCGCAGGTCTGGACACTGGGTTTGGCAAAGAACAGAACCAAGTGGGGCCTTTGCCCATGTGAAAGGGAGATGGAAATGAGTGACTACCACAGCCATGGTGACAAGTATGTTGAGGTGAGGAAAAGGAGTGAGTGGGGTCTGAGGGTGGCTGGGAGAGCCTCCTGGAGGAGGTGTAGTTAGGCTGAGAGCGGAAGGAGAATGGGAGGGAGGAGGGAAGGGATGCAACAGGCAGGAAGGACTGAGGCCGAAGGTCCTGCTGCATCCCAGGGAAGAGAAGAAGGCTTACAATTATCCTCCCAACCCACATCTGAGGCCACAGAATGCGACCCTGAAAACAGAGTCTGTACAGATGTTATCGGTTCAGGATGAAAATGAATATCACCTTGCACCAGGGTGGGCCCTAAATCCAATGCAGTATCCTCACAAGAGATAGAAAGCAACAAGCTGGGCAAGACAGAGAAGGTCATGCCAAGGGGAGACAATGACCAGAGTACAGTGGGCACAAAGCCAAGTGCTGCTGGAGCCCCCAAGCTGGAGAAGCCAAGACCCTCCACTGTGGCTTTCATGACCTGCCAACACACTGATTTCAGACTGGGCTCCAGAATAGCAAAAACATGTATTTCTGATTTATAAAGCCACCATAGTTGGAGCACTTGTCACAGCAGCCACAGGAAACAATGAAGGAAAGGGGTCGGCAAAGCTGGGTAATAGCCAGAGCATCCTGACGGCTTCTGGTACATACAGCACCCAGAGTAGCTAGCCAAAACTGGCACCAATGCTATACACCCACCAGTAGGACAGCAGAGGGTGCTAGAACAATACTCTTAGAAATGAACAAAGGGTACATCTTTGTGACTCTGAATTTGACAGTGCTTTCTTAGATTATGACACCAAAGCAGAAGCAAACAAAAAATAGATGAATGGTTAAGTATAATAAAAAACTTTTATGCTTCAAAGGACACCATGAGCCAGGCACAATGTCACATGCCTGTAATCCCAGTGACTCAGGAGGCTGAGGCAGTAGGATCCCAAGTTTGAGGCCAGCATCAGCAACTTTATGAGGCCCTGTTTCAAAATAAAAAATAGAAAGAGCTGGGGATATGGCTCAGTGGCAAAGCATCCCTAGGTTCAATTCCCAATACCAAAAAAAAAAGAAAAAGGCCAACCATGAAAAAGTTGAAAAGAGAAACCACAGATTGGAAAAAAAGTATTTGAAAGCAAATCTCTGGCAAACAACTCTCATAATTTAATAAAAAGGCAGCACATTTTAAAAATATGCAAAGGTGGGCTGGGTTGTGGCTCAGTGGTAGAGCACTCGCCTAGTATGGTGAGGCCCTGGATTTGATCCTCAGCACCACATAAAAAAAGAATAAACAAAGATATTGTGTCCATGTATAACAAACACACACACATACACACACACGAGAAGTTTACACTAGCGTAATTAAGAACAGCACTCAAATAATAACAACCCTAATGTCCATCAACTAAGGGTGGAAAACCAAAATGTGGCACGATCCATATGATAAAAATATTATCCAGGCTTATAAGAATGAAGTACAGGGCTGGGGATGTGGCTCAAGCAGTAGCGCGCTTGCCTGGCATGCTTGCAGCCTGGGTTCGATCCTCAGCACCACATACAAAGAAAGAGTTGTGTCCGCCGAAAACTAAAGGAAATAAATATTTAAAAATTCTCTCTCTTAAAAAAAAAAGAAAAGAAAAGAAAAGAAGAAGTACATGCTACCACTGGGAAATCCTCAAAGATGTTACAAGCAAAAGAGGCCCAACTCCACAGGACCACACACTGCATGATGCCACTGATCGGAATGGTCCAGGACAGACAGAACTAGAGCAGAGACAGGAAATCAGCTGTCACCCAGACAAAGGAATTAAGGCAAAACACTAAACTGGAGCAAGGCTTCTTTCTGGAGTGAGGAAATGTTCTAATGCTGACTAAGGCAAAACACTAAACTGGAGCAAGGCTTCTTTCTGGAGTGAGGAAATGTTCTAATGCTGACTAAGGCAAAATACTAAACTGGAGCAAGGCTTCTTTCTGGAGTGAGGAAATGTTCTAATGCTGACTATGATAATGGCTGAACAACTCTGGGGATATATAAAAATTATTGAATTGGATATCTCAAAAGGGTAATCTGTATGGACTATAAATTACACCTCCAAAATCAGCAGATGGTCTAATTTTAAATTTAAAAGGCCCAAAGGCTGCCAATTAGGTCTGAGGCTGGGCCTACATCCCTCTTCTTGGCCCTATAGTATCCTGGGAAGCAAGGACCCACCCTAAGTTTTTCCTAGCTTGCTGGGGTCTCCTCACAGCTCCCACTGTGCAGAGTGCAGAGTGCAGTCTCACAAGGCTGATGTTCTGAGCTTCCAGAAGGGGCTGGGGCCGCATGGCCACACTGTAGAGCCTCATCGCCAATCCTGGGATGTATGCTTAGCACGCCCAGCCCAGATGCAACTCCAGGCTGGCTGGGTCTTAGTCACCCTCTATAGTTAGAGCCCCCGAAGCGGGGAGGGTCTGATTTGTTACCATAACCTTACTGACGCCAGATGGAGTGTGCCCCAGATTGGGGGAGACTACCTCTGCAGGACCCAAAGCTCTGACTCAGCCACTTGCAGCTGCTATGGCAGGAACAGCTGCCATCTGCTGAAATGAGGACTTGTGGCAACTCCACAAGCAGCAGTGGCCAGACAGGTCAGCAGACCTCGGGCTTATAATCCCCTCTTTCCTCAGAGCTGGTGAGAGGCCAGCTCCTGGGGGCAGCCTGCCTGATACGGAGTTGCCTGGTCCTGCCCCAAGGCGGCACTCCTGCCCACCTCCAGGGCGCCTGCGGATTGACTTATCACTATGCTTTTTCTAGTGACAGGTGCTTGGAACACAGCACCTTGGCAGCATTTTCTTAATCTTATGAAGAGGTAAACCCTCACACTCAGAGGACTTCTAAGGACTGGCAATAGGCTTGGAGCTGCTCAGAGTGAGCCATGGTATCCCCCTACTTGCAGTAGTGCAGGGCCTGGCCCACCTCAGAGACCCTTCGCTGTTCACGAAGCCAGCTTAACTACATTAGAAGGTGCGTTTGGACCCAGGCTGCACCCCGGTGGCTGCGCCTCCGCTCTGTCAGCCCCTGCCCAGCACCTGCCGGGGGAAGGCACGGCCCTCTCCAGCATGTACCTTGAGCCACTGCTTCTCTGTCAAAGAGTCGCTATAGTCCACCTCCTTGCGGTGGCGGGAACCCCGGCCAAACATCTTCTCCTCCTCCTCCTCACAGGTCAGCCGCTCCACCTCCGCATCATCCTTTATGATCCAGGATGGGAGCTCATCCTCCTCCATCAGGCGCGGCTTCCGCTTAGGGTTGCGGGCCTCCTCGCGCCGGCGGTCCAGGTCCATGCGCTGCAGCGAGTGGGCGGGAGGAGGAGGGAAGCAAGAAGCAAAATGAGGGAGAGAGGACGAAGAGAGGGTCAGTAAAGGGGAGGGCGCCGCAAGGCAGGCTCCAGTAGGGACTCAAAGGCTCACAGGGCCCACAGAGGCCATCGCTGGCTCAAGAGTTAACAGAGCAGCTCTGACTGCAGGGGCTGACCTGGCGGCTGCTAAAACAGACCCTGCTAAGGGGCTCTGGAGAAGGTGGGAAAGGGGCAACAGGGTGGCAGCTCCACAACAGCCTGAGTGGAAGACACAGGCCTGCTGGAGCCAAGAGGACCTCTGCTCCAATTTTGTCCCATCATTCTGGGGCTGGGGCCTGCCATGGAGGCCCTCGAAGTCCCATGGCCTTGATGGTCTTGGCTCCCTTTGAAAAGGAGCAGAGCCCTTAACAGCTGTCAGCAAATAGACTCAGGAAGACAGGCCAAGTCTGAGGGTCACGTACAGCATGGAGGCCAGTGTGTGCCCGGCTGTCCCTATGACAAGCTCAGGAGATCAAGGATGAACAAGGACGGGTCAGTTGGAGTCATGAGCAGGCTACACTGGGAGATGTCCCAGGTCCATTCGTCGCTGGAGAGTTTATTGGGAACTGAACCCAAGGACACTCTACCACTGTGTTTCATTCCAGCCCTTTTAATATTTTATTGTGAGACAGAGTCTTACTATATTACCCAGGCCGGCCTTGAACTTGTGACTCTCCTTGCCTCAGTGTCCCACACAGCTAGGATTGTAGGCATGGGCCACCACATCTGGCATCACTGAGACTTTCTGCATAGTTTTTGGTGTTGGCAGGGTGGACACATAAGCCCTGCAGGGCACCCTGAAGCTGTGGGGGGCAGAACAGCCTCCTTGTGGCAGCATGTTGCACTCACCATGAACAGGTCAAACTCCTCTTCATGTCGTGCAATCATTTGGTTGACAGTCTCGTCGTCGGGTACTTCATCTTCTTCCTACAAGATTGCAAACCTTTAGTCTGGCTGTGGAGGGGTTGGGCTGGGCGGCGGCCAGGCTCGGAGGCGAGCAGTGGCGATCCGTGGGAAATGAGCTGGCGGTCCCAGTCCGGCTGCGGTGGATGGGGACCCACACAGCAGCGAGAGGCACACACACGCACACGCACACGCACGCTCGGTGGGATCAGGGCCCTTGCTGGCCGTCCCAGCTGAGAAGCCGAGGACTGGATGGGCGTGGAGACTGAACTACCCCTCTCACCTTTAGAGGTGGCTCCTCCAAGTCGGGGTTGACGCCCGCTGGCGGAGGGGCAGTGTGGGCGAAGCTGGCACTGCCGCTGCCCGTGCTGCAGTGTCTGCTCTGTGGATAAATAGAGGACTTCAGTCTCCAGGGCTGTCAATCCGGCGTCTGTCACCAGCAGTTTAGAAAAAAAAAACCACTTCAAAGGGAAAGCAAGTACTCATCCTCTTTCCGCTCAGCCCACACTCCCTTTACTCCAAAGGGATGCAAAAAAAATAAGAGTGCAAAAAAAGGTACAAAAACAAAAATGAAAGCCGCTCATGCGTTCACCACTCACGCTGGGGGGGGGGTCAGGGTCGGAGCTGGTGCTGTGCTCACCTCATCCTGCTCCTCGTGCTCCAAGATGGCCTGCAGGAACGCGCGCCTTTCGTGGCTGGATGATTTCTGGTCGAACATGCCCGCCTGGATCACCTTCTGGTCCACATTGAGCTTATACTTGGCTGCAGCCAGGATCTTCTCCTCCACGCTGTTGACCGTGCAGAGGCGGAGCACGCGTACCTCATTCTGCTGCCCGATGCGGTGGGCTCGGTCCTGCGCTTGCAGGTCCTGGGGAGAGGTACAAGTCAATTCCAAACTAGAGGGCAGAAGCTTTGGGGAGGAGGGTGCGAAGGCAGGGTCTTCTTTCTGTGTGGGCCTCCAGCCTCAAGTCTACCCTTCTTCACCACTAGTGGCACGAGCCAGAGCTCAGGAATGTGACCTGGCCTGCATCACCTAGCTGGGGGGACTAGGTAACAAGCCCAGTTGTGACCTTCTACCCTACAGGGATCTGACAAATACATGTGCTCCAATGGGAGACACTGTCAAAATCAGCACATCCATGTGTTCCTGCAGACAGGTGCTGGAAGGTGCTCAGCAATAGTGCCATTTCGGAGGACAACCACAAGGGGTTATGTTCCCAGTAGCCCTTGTCATAGATCCAGAGGTCCTCAGTGTGGCCATGTAACAACTGAGGCACCACTCAGAGGTCAGGGCTAACACCACGCAACAGTGTGGTAGGGCCTGGTTTGCTTAGGGGCCCACATGCTTCCCTGCTGTGCAACCTAGGCCTGGGCCTACCCTCCCGACCCAACCTCAGAATTCACTGCGATAGCCCTCTTCTGATGGCTTTGTATAGAATACATGAAGGAAAAGGTGTCAAGAGTGTAGCCCAACAACTGGGACAGCAGCTCCTGAAAAAAAAAATTTTTTTCGGGGGGTGGGGGGTACAGGGAATTGAACCCAGGGGTGCTTAGCCACTGAGCCATATCTCCAGCCCTTTTTTATATTTTATTTGAGACAGGGTCTTACTACGTTGATAAGTGCCTCAATAAGTTGCTGGGATTACAGACGTGTGAGACTATGCCCAGTACAAATATTTTAATTATCCCTAGTTTAGAACAAGGAGGCTCCCTGAAACCCTGTCTCTGGGCCCAGTGTATGGGCCACCAAGGCACCATGCTCCTCAAACTGAGAAATATGGGGAGGAAGGAGGATGGTAAGGAGCTGACCTCAAAAACCTTGGTAATGGGATTTTTACTGCAGTCTACTTGCTGATCTGCACACTCTGACCATCCTTCAGGAAACTGGTCAGTCATCAGAATCTGGGCTGGAACTACATGCCAGACTGATCAGAGGAAAGACCTCAGATGGTTCACCCAGGGCATTCGCCCATCAGAGTGAATCTCTGATCATGCTGTGGCTACCAGGGTGTGGAAGAGGGTACACTGGATGTAGAAGAGGGCACACTTGGACCCCACCAATGGAGGTATAAATAGTTGGGCAGAAGCAACCAGAATATGAAGGGAAGACTCCCACAGGCATGGGGATCCCACTTCTCAGGGCTGATCCAACTGGAAGGACCTTACAAATGTGCCCCAAAAGGGACAAGAGGGTTTCCTATGCTGGTAGATGGAAATAGAGCTGGAAGTAAGATGTTTTGGGGCCAAATATACTGGGACATCTGGGAGTTGATGCAACAGTGGACGAGATGTGCCCTCTGGAGGAGAGGCAATTGACACTGGCTGCTGAACACAAGAGGCATGTGCTCCAATGGGAGACAGTGTGTCAAAATCAGCACATCCATGTGTTCCTGCAGAGAGGTGCTGGAAGGTGCTTAGCAAAGAGCGGGATTGGTGGGGAAGAGAAAGAGGCCTCTTTTCTTTGTGTTATTAGTATCTGCGTTGAAAATTAAAAGCAAGAGCATATTATTGTTATAATGAGACAGAGACCATTTTACTCACTTTAGAACACACAGTTCTATATAACAGCACGCCCTGGCACCTACTGGCGTGGAGGCCCACATGGAGTACATGATTAAGAAACAAGAGTCTGCCCCAGATTTTGTTCCACATGGGTCAATGTTCCACACAGAAAAAGTCTGCAGAGCTGTGCCCCATAACCTAGTGGATGTAGCCAATGGGATTTACAGCACCTTCCACCTTGTTCTGTTATGTAATTCCAGAAATTAAAAAAAGGGTGGGGGGAAATGCTGCTTTCCTAACCAGAGGACAAGGCTATATCTACTTTTAGAAACAGAAAGAGAAATCTGCTTCTTGATGACTTAGTTGGGGTAGGTGTGGCTCCTGCCAACTCCTGGGACCCACAAGAAAGCTTGTGGGTCAGCCCTCTAGGGCTTCTGGAAGCTCCTCTCCCCTCTCTCACCAGGGCACTGGCTGCTTTTACCTGGTGGGGATTCCAGTCGCTGTCGAAAATGATCACAGTGTCAGCTGATTGGAGGTTCAGTCCCAGCCCCCCAGCCCGGGTGCTCAGCAGGAAGATGAAATACTCTGAGCCGGGCTCGTTGAAGGTTTTCAGCAGCATACCCCGGTCCTCTGCCTTTGTGGTTCCTGACAGGCACAGGAGACAAGGAGGTCAGCAGGGTGGCTTGGGGACCAGGATTAGGAGGAGACACACAGGAACTCCCAAGAGCAGAAACCATGACCCAGAGGCCACAAGAGCCAAAGCTACACTGTATCCACAAAAGTGGGACATACAATTAGCCAGTGACTTGGATGTACAGAACATCACTACACTGTGGCACCTCTCCCATCCCAGGAGATAAAAACAGGCTCTATTAGTGCCCTAATCTGGCTGCATCTCCATGTGATATGGGATGCGGGAAGGACTATGAGCACTGGGCCCGAGTTCAGGGACGCCCTAGCCAGTGCTGTTGATAGGACCAGACCCTAGCACCTCTCCAAGTGCCTGCTCTGCTCTATGGGCAAGAGGCAGAGTGGCTGATGCCGCCAAGACTACTCCTCCTAAAAACATTCAAGGGGCCTCATTGCAGTTGGATAGTGCTGTGGAAATGAGCCAATAGCCAGAGGGCTGGCATGTGCTCTTGACCCTACTGCAACAGGCTCTGCTAGTTCACAGGGAATCCCCATGGGCGAGAGCAGGGGAGTTTTATTCTTGTGTGTGTGATGCTGGGGATGGAACCCAGGATCTTGCATATGTGAGGCAATAGCTCTTCCACTGAGCCACACCCACTCAGGGAAGCCTAATAAGGGGGGCTTGGTACCCCTCTGGCTCTATTCTCCCAACCCTAAGCAGAGAGCCTGCAAGGGTTCCCAGTGACTTTCAAATAACAGCCCAGGATGTAGATCTTTGGTATTACAAGTATCCATAGGATGTCTTAAGCTACTCAGGCTTCTGTCAGCGCCAACAAAAGCTGCCTTTGGTGCACTGAGCAATAATTTTGGTGACACAATGAAAACTAAACACTTCCTACCACTGGTCCATGTGTCACCAGGCACAGCACAAGAGCCTGGTACCTACTGTAGCCAAAGCACCTGTCACATGCCACCCTTCCTTGGGCTCCAGATGCAACCACAGCCATCCCACCTCAGAGAGGGGAACAACAACCCCCCAGATGCCAGCATGTGCCTCACATTCATCAACCTCATGGCAGGAGACTCAGTGTCATGACTTCATTGAGCTCCCAGTCTTCCTCTGCATTTGCGATAGACTTTCTGCTCCGTGGCTGGGACTATATATAAGGTGCTACAGAAGCAACTGAGGCCAAGTTAACAGAAGCACTTGTCCTCTGAAAAGACAGGGTCGGCACTCAGAAGGCTGGGGCTTGGCCCTCAAGAAGATGGAAGAGACAACGTGAAGGTTGGAGTACATAGGAGAGACCTAGACACATGGCCTTGCCAGGGTTTTGGTTTCCTACAGCCTGAAAGCAGTGGAAAGCCCCAAGAGAGGATGGGGCAACAAGGGAGACTTGCATTTTGTGAAGGTGGACCCTGAGAGTTCTGAAAAGGGGCTGAAGGTTGGGCGAGTGAGTGTGCAGGCCATGTTTTGGGTAAGGGTCCAGAGAGGGACAGAAAGATCAGCCAGGCAAGCAGAGTCTGTGAAACAACATTTCTAAAAGATGCTCAGTGAGAACAGGTTTGGGAGCCCAGGGGAGGTGCACAAAGGTTTGGGGTGTCCTGCCATGCAACAAACCCTGCACAGAACTTAGTAAGGTCTCCAAGACCTTGTGCAAGGGGAACTGTTTAACCTTGCTGGTTTCTATTTTTTTTTTTTTTTGTACTGAGGATTGAATGCAGGGGTGTTTAACCACTGAGCCACATCCCCAGCCCTGTTTTAATATTTTATTTAGAGAGAGGGTCTCACTGAGTGCCTTGTTAAGTTGCTGAGGCTGGCTTTGAACTGGCAATTCTCCTGTCTCAGCCTCCTGAGCTGCTGGATTTACAGGTGTGCACCACTGTACCTGGCATCCTTGCTAGTTTCTAACCCCATTTTTCTGGTAAGCCTTGTCCACCACTCAGGCAAAAAGAAGGTGGGGAACTTAAGGCCCTCCCTACTAGTCATAAGTGCTGGCCACCTCTTGCTCAGCCTCTTCCTCCCTGGAGTGCCTCTTGGAGGTGAGGGCAAGCAGAAATATCGAGAGGGACCACTGGGCACAGGGTCAGGGCCTATTGCCTCCTGGAGGAAGCTCCTGCTCTTGCCCTACAACATCTGCTTCCCTCCCTCAGTGGCTCCTGATTCTAGTACAGTCAATCCTGATTCCAACTCCAGGCCTGACCAGTGAGTGATAGGACCGCAGCCACATGGCTGTTGTGAAAAGTCCAGCAAAAAGCACATGACTCCAAGTAGCTAAAGGAGAGACAGCCCTGGACTTCTGAGGGGAAAGCTGAGCTGCCTCTGCTTTGGAGACACGGAGCAGGTAAGGGGAAGCCTGAGGATAAGGCCAAGTTAGAGGAGAGCAGAGCTACGAGCTGGAGAAAAGCCCTGAAGCATTATTGTTGTACCTGAATCCAACTGAGGCGAAAGCAAGCAAACCCTTGGCTCCCAATTATGCTTTTTACCTTATGCATTTTCATGGTTTTTTTGCTTCCTGTTTAAGCAGGACCGCCAAGTACCCCTTCCTCCCAGTGCTGCAGTGAAAAGTTGGCCAGTGTCCAGTCTCAGCTTGTGATCCTGCCATGACACCTCCAGGGTCTGGCCTCCCAGTTCCAAGCCTGAGGAGCTCAGTGTGCTACTGGGCTCAATGTGGCACTGGAGGAGGCCCATAGGCATAAAGCTGGGGTATCCTTGGACAACAAAGCCCCTTAACAAGTCTCTCTTCTACTCACCATCAAGCCTGAGGTATTTAAAGCCACGATATGCAAAATAATCTTCCATGATCGTCATGAGGGAAGTCATTTGGCAGAAGAGCAGCACTTTATGGTTGGTTGCACGCAGTTTGGGAAGAATTCTATCAAGAAGCTCAAACTTCCCCGAGGCTCTGTACAGGTCCAGTCTAAGTTGTGGCAGGAGGAAGAGAAGAACATTGAGAACATTAAAAATGCCACCTCTGGGCGTTTTAAAGAATAGGAGTGTGTCATGTTCCCACACTGGCTGGGCACAGAGGTCTCCCAAGCAGATCTCCTACTACAGTTTGAGCAAAGCCACTTCAACCCAACTAAAATAAACTCAGGTCACCCTTGGTTAAGAGCACATTAGAAGGGTGACCACATCTTTATCATCTAACCTGAGAATGAAAGAGCTGTGACTTTTAATAAGGCAGGGACAGGAAGTGAGGGCCAGGGCTACTCCCAGACACCCAGGCTTTATCTCCCTTCTTGTTAAAGAACCTTCTGGGGGGTCTGGGGTTGTGGCTCAGTGGTAGAGTGCTTGCCTAGCACATGTGAGGCTCTGGGTTTGATCCTCAGCACCACAGAAAAATAAACAAATAAAATAAAGGTATTGTGCCCAACTATAAATAAAAAAAATATTAAAAACAAAACAAAACAAAAAAAGAACCTTCAGGAACAAATGCTCACATTGGAGACTGCCCACACCCTGCCAGACTTAGAAGGGGGCCACTGAAGCTTCTCTCATTTCTTCCAGTCAACAGCCCCTGGATTCAGAGATGTGGAAACGGAAGCTCGGGGGCAGGAACAGGGTGATCCCACATAGAGAAACTTCATGATGCAATGCGATGAAAACAAGTCACAACAAAACTTCTTGTCCTTTCATTAAGTAATGCTGTTCCTGAGACTGCTTTAGTATCCAGGGTCATAAAAGGAACTTGTAACAAGGTTTTTTGTAAAAGTGAAACTCTAGGGGGCTGGGGATGTGGCTCAAGCGATAGTGCACTCGCCTGGCATGCGCAATGGTGCTGGGTTCGAGCCCCAGCACCACATACAAATAAAATAAAGATGTTGTATCTGTCGAAAACTAAAAAATAAATATTAAAAAATTCTCTCTCTCTCTCTTAAAAAAAAAAAGTGAAACTCTAGAGACGACATCCGTGTCTAATACCAGGGACTTCAAGAAGTGTGGCCTAGTCACATGCAGTGGGACATGCTTGTGGGCCTTAGGAGGCTAAAGGCAGGAAGATCACGAGTTCAAAGCCAGCTTCAGCAATTTAACGAGGCCCTAAACAACTTGGTGAGATGATATCTCCAAATAAAATATAAAAACAGGCTGGGGATGTGGTTCAGTGATTAATTGCCTCTGGGTTCAATCCTAGAAGCGTGGCCTGTGCTTTTACAAAGGATGCTGCAGAAAACAGATTCACACAGTACAAAATGTTTCTGTTTTAGTGGATTATGTGTAGACTCAGAGACACTGAGAAAGCTATCCAGGGTCACAGAGTAAGGAGGTGGCAGAGCAGGGTCCAGAAGCCAGCCTGCCTCAGGAATCCTGCTTTTTGGGGCGAATGGTGATCAATTCTCAGAGTACTCTCCTTTCTTTAGGTTCCTCTATGTTTTCTAAATGTTCAGGTTTGAAAACTGGACAAAAGTAACAACAGCAAGAAAGACAAATGAGCGAGAAAGCAAACCCCTCCACATGGACAACCAGCCCACCCTACACAGTCGGGCAGCTTCTCACCCCTGGACGATGCCACCGGTGAAGCCCAAGTGCTCAGAAAAGGATTCCTGCAATGGAATAAGAGATGGGTCAATGCTGGGACAGGGAAAGGCCATCTGGTCCAACCTCATGGTCCAGGCCTCTGCTGTAAAAGGATGGAGCCCTCATATCAAGCACTCAGCAATGGCCCATGGCAGCACCAAGGCCAAGAGAGGGATGCTGAACACTCCTTATCGCACCAAATCCCGAGTCTCATGCAGATCTAACAGAAGGGAAGAAGTAATATATGACACGCTTGGTCACCCTCATGAGTGCAAGAGGACTGTGTCTATGCAAAACTACCCTGGAACAGAACCCCAGGGGTGCTTGTGGTGGGCATGAGGGATCTTCAACCATACTGAACTTTAAGCCAAGAAATAAGGACACATGTACACATTTCAGAAACAAGAATCCAGACTCTTGAAGAGTATTAAGTTTCCAAAGGGTTCTGGTCCACACCCTTGATTAAATGGGGAGGCTGTGCTTGTATTTCTCCCACATGGAAAAGGCCAGGATGCCAAAGAACAGATGTGGAACAAGTCCTGGGGCTCATCCCTACAGAGGAGTCTCAGGAAACCTTTCAGGGAGGGGTTTCAGGAACTTTATTTCTCTCATATAAATATTTGGATTCCTTAAAATTAGCATACATGAGCACATGCAGTAGAGCACATGCTTAGCACATGCAAACCTTGGGATCCCTCCCCATCACCAAAAAAAAGTAAATAATATACATACATATGTACATACATAAATAATACATACGTACATACATAAATAATTTGTAAAAAGAAAACCAACAGATAGATATACATGCATTACCTATACCAAATACCAAAAACTTTTGCAAAGTCATCTGAGACAAGCAACCTAAGTCAACCTAGGAGCTCAGCACAGACTGGTGTCTTTGGGCCCATACAGAGTGAGGATGGGGGCAGTCAGAACTGCTGCCAGCAAGCTCTGGGTATTGCAGGGACTGCTGTCCCTGAGGCTGGGCATGTGGCACAAGGGACCTCACCTCAATGTGCTGGAACATGTACGGGTGGTTGCAGATCTTCCTCAGCTGCATGATGGTGTTCATCAGGGTCTTGGTGCCACCTTTGCCCTAGGGAGGCAGACAAAAAGGTCAAAACCAGGTCTTATCTCTGGGGTAGGGTGGAGCTGGCATGCAGAATGGGAGAAGAGCTCTGGAGAAGCTGGGGTTGCAGCTGTAGCAGAGCAACCAGGAACACAACCCAGAGTGCAGAGACAGCTCATGTGAAGACCTAGAGGTCCATAAGTAGCACTGGAGGATGCAGAGACCACCTGGCATATTATAGGGTTAGGGTAGGAAGCTAGCCGTATTGAACTGAATGAACACAAATGCTTTCTGACACCAGCTCTGTCCTAGGCATTGCAGGGAGCCACTGGAGGGGTCCCTCAGGCTGCAGAGTAGAGGGACGGCTCAAGCTAGCAGGGTGGGTGTTCTGGGCTGAGAAGAAATCAAGTGCACACTGTTCTACGAGGTCAGAGAAGAAAGGGCCTAAATAAACATGGAGGGGAAGTAATTGGGAGTTAGGATCCTGGGTACAGGATCAAGGAACCTGACAGGAGGGGCCTGGTACCCTTAGAGAGGTCCTAAAAAGAGAGAGCTCACCTGACCCTGACTCCTTAACACTTTATGCCCTCGCCAAAGTAACTTTGTAACAATGGGGTGGAACAGTTCACTAGAATATTCAAAACCCTACTGGGGTTAGCATGGGCCCCACAGTGCCAAGGAAGGAGCCACTGTCTCAAAAGTGCCCCCTAAGAAAGACCACTGGTACTTATACTCATGACTATTTAAATGCCCTTGGGATCACAGCCAGGTGGGCCTTACAGGGCACAGTTAAGTCTATGGAGGTAAGAACCACACTGGTTAGCGCATTCTCCAGCCCTGAATACCAGGCTGCTTCTGCTCCACCCTCCTGGGACATATAAGTGCAGAATAGGGATCCCCAGAGCCAACCTTCTTGTCCTTCTCGGAGCCGTCGGTCAGTAGCACCCCCTTAGCTTGCATGTGCCGGTAGAGCACGCGCTGCAGAGCAGACATGTCGCACTTGATGACATACTCCACCTGCAGGGCAAACAGTGAGCTCAGGGGAGCAGCAGCAGCCCCAACACCTGACCCAACTCTTGTCTCCAAGCCCTACTGGAAGCACCCGAAACCTCAGGACATGAGCTCTGATTAAGTAACAAAGGGTGATGGTGAGGATCCCCTGAGGCTGGGGGACAAGGGAGATAGTAAAGACATACAGATTCTGGGTTAGAAAGGGCAACATGGCTACATCATGGAGGGCTCTCCAAACAGCCAGGAAATAAAGGGCAAGGCTGACTGTGGTGTGTGAGGTGGGGGAATGAATTTGGTCAGGGAGAGAGAGAGACCAAGAACCCAGAGCCTTCCCACACTGGAGGAAGCCTCATGCTACAGACAGAGGGAAGAAGTGCAGGCATTGACACCGATAGGAGGTGGAACTGAGGCTCTTACTAACAGGGGTTAGTTGCCATCCAAAGGCTGGATTGAATAGGGCCTAGATCTGGACCTTGGGGAGACCCTGAGCATACCCAAACTTGGGAAACCCGACAGTACACCGTGGCAAAGTGGCTTCTCCTAGGCAGAACTTACCTTCTCAGGCAACTGGGCCTCAACTTCCTTCTTGAGCCGCCGGAGCAGGAAGGGTCGCAGCACTTTGTGGAGACGACGAATGATAAGGATGGTTTCTTCCTCATTCAGGTCCACCTGGAGCCCCACGAACAAAATCCAAATATTACCTCCAAAGGAGGGGAGGCAGTGACCACAGTGCTCTAAGCTTTCAGGGGCAAGGAGTGCACCCTCCTTTTTGGTATGACTAACGAATCTGCTGTCCACAGAATTTTGGGGATGGAACTAAGGGCATTGGGAGGCCATGCTGTGTATGCCTTCCCACAAAAATGTGGCAGCCTACTGAATGGCTTCCCTAAGGGTAATATGAACTTATGTGTCTAAAAACCTAAAAGCACAAACAAACAAAAACAAGACAGCACTGGAGCAGGCTGAGCACACAGAAAACTGACTTTAACTGCAGAATTCCCAGGGAGGGGTCTGTCACGAGGTACCCCAAAAGCCCTCCCTCTTTCAGGCTGAGAAGACCCAAGTAAAATAAATACTGCTTTCCCAGGTGCCTGCTCCTTGGCCAAAAGATCGTTTTCAATCACGAGATTGGGCGTGTTCAGGGTGATATGGCTCTGACCAGTGTTGAAATGTCTGGATACTGTGGGTGGCACGATCAGACTGAAGGCCACACAGTGGCCACAGAGATGAGCCTCTAACCACGGTCAGATAAAGAGCAAGTAGCAGAACAGTATTATGGTTTTCAAAAAAAAATTCTATATGCTGGTGTTTAGCACATAGAAAATGCCCATGTAATACTCTTCACTGATTTCTTTCTTTTAAAAAGAACTTTTCTTCTGTCAATTCCTGGTCATCCCTTGGTAGAAGTGCCCTGCTTGAAAAGAAATGAGGCTGTAGGATCTGGTCCTGCATCTGGGGAAGGGGCCTAAGGACCGTGGTTCCCTCATCATGAGGACCTTGAGAAAGCCTTGGTTTCTCCTTCAGAAGGGCTGCTGTCTTGGTCTGTGGTAGAGATAGTGAAGACTGTGAGGATGAGACCAGTAAAGGCCCAGCTGTAAATAGGACACATCTACAGAAAGATGGCCAGCGGGAAGAGTGGCAGGGCCACTTCCAGGGGCTGTAGCACTACTGATAACCTAAGTTATGCCCACGTCTGCAGGGCTTGGCCGCTTAAGTCACCTCAACAAGAGGTCACATAGGCCATCCCACAATATGTTAAACCCCCAAAGCACAACGTGCTGTGGACTCTGTGCTCAGAGCTAGCTCAGGGACATGTTATCAACCATGTAGATAGGCCCTTCATAGCCAATGTGCCACTGTGTGGCCTTCAGACTGACCATGCCACCACAGTATCCAGACATTTCAACATTGGTCACAACAATCTCTGAAAACAACTTAAAACAGAGCCCAACAACAGGTGCCTTAACCAAGACCTTATAGGTCCCTCCTGCTCTCAGGGTGAATCCTGGACTCCCTGAAGCGCCCAACAGGATGTAGTTCACTGTGCCATTCATACCCTGAGGGCCTAGGGCCATCCCAGGGCCAAATAAACCCCTGGGACTTCTCTCCTGATCTGTCCATCTCTACACAAGGGTCCCCTTGTGGCTCCTTTAGCTTCAGGGTCCAGGGGCAGTGTATTGTGGCAGCACTCAATAAACATGATCCTGGGAGCCAGATGAGCCAGGATGATCCAAGCAGGCGTGGCTGCTAACGCAAGGTGCAAAACCATGACCACCATTTCCCACCCTGCCAGGTTGTGGCCAGGCACACACCCACCTTTTCCCCGGTCATGGCAAAGGGAGCATTGAACCACTGTTCAAAAGTGCTGCAGCTCTTGAAGATGGTGGGCAGCAGGAAGTTGAGCAGCGCCCAGAGCTCGGGGAGCTTGTTCTGCAGTGGCGTGCCCGTCAGCAGCAGACGCCGAGGGGCCACGTAGTGCGTGTTGAGGACCTGTGTCAGCTTACAGTGGTGGTTCTTCATGCGGTGGCCTTCATCCACAATCATGTACTTCCAGCGGATCTACAGGTCAGAACACAGGTGGTCAGGGGGACAGCAGGGCTGCCCTGAAGGACCTCATGCTGGAAACAGAGGCAATGGTCACCACCAACCAGGAAGGCTCCGTGGCGGAGAGCTCCCGAGAACATGGCATTACACTCTTCCACCCCAAAACACGCACACCCACATGGAAGAGCCACATAGACTCCAGGATACACGGCAGGGAGATGAGCCTCTGACTACTGTGTCAGATAAAGAGCACGTAGCAGATCAGTATTATGGTTTTCAAAAATATGTATATATATGCTAGTTTTAGCACATAGAAAATGCTCACTGATCAGTGAGGCCCCCTGGGGCATGGGTTGTGCAATAAGGTTGGTGACAGCTCTATTTCAATGAGCAGAGCATATTTCAAAGGGCAACCAAGAGCCCAGGGAGGTCGGAACGTGAGGCACTCCAGTGCCAAGGAGCCCTGCCTTATCCAGCCACTCTGAGAGTCTGTAGGTGATTCTCAGATGGAACAGGGCTCGACACAGTGTGAGACCACAGGCAGGAGCTCTGGGGTGTCTCAAGGCAAGTCTCTGTGGACCACAAGGAGCCCAGCTTCAACCTCTCTCTAATGGGAACCATGCAGGCCTCCTAAGGATACTGTGAGGCTTGAGGAAGGCAGCACATGTCAGGTCAGGGTACCCAAGGGCAGTGCTGATCTGGGGGTTCAGCAGCCTCCTTCCACAAACAATACCTAGCACTCTGTAGTCATACTAATTCCAGCCATGGCAGATAAACAGGATTTTCAGGGCCTTGTTCCTGGGCTCATGATGGGCCTAGCTTTATATTACACCTGCAGGAGAGGCACCATAGTACAGGCTGGAGGATAAGATTCTACCCTCAGTTTCCAGGACCTCAGTTTCCTCACCTGTCAACCCCAGAATACACACAGAGGCCCCAATACCACCATTACCAGCATACAGTGAGAAGTGTGGTAAATGGCAAATGTCCCTGGGTCAAAAACTCTCCACTTAGTGCTCCCTATGGTCAGCAATGAGGCCTGCTGTACCCTATTCAGTTGAAGTTTCCCAGACAGGAGGAGCTACAGCAGGCATGGGACTGCATCTGCCTATAACTGGACCATGGCACATGCTCAGTAATTCACCAGTGGCCAGGCAGGAGCTGCCTTCAGTCACATCACCCAAGAAACTTCCAGGCCTGAGCAGTCCCCAACATAAAGACCTGAGGCTGACAGGCCAACAGCACCTCAGCCTGAGTTCTCAGCCGTCATCCTCTTCCTCAAACCCTTGAAGTCTCATGGTCTTTGGTGGGGGGCATGGCCCCAAAGGAGGGGAAATTGAGGCTACTAGAGATAGGGACGACAAGGCCAGTCTATCCTCAGCCCAAGTGGGACATGCAGGCAGGTCAGGAGACACTGTATGAGAAGCAGCTTCAGGAAGACACCCAAGAGGAGCTAGTCCACATGTTCTGAGGACAGTCCCAACCCTTGGATCTGAACTGGAGCCAGCCTTGAGATGTTCAGAAAGGCAAAGCTGTGGTCACTTCCTCCACACCCAGGGTAGCTGTCTTCTTATGTATGTACATTTATGTGAGTCACTGAGAAGTCCCTTGCAAGGGGCTTTGGGGCATACACACACAAGACAGCATGGATCAGGCAGCAGCAGTTTCCCAGCAGCCCAGGAGCCTCTGGCCTGCTGTGTTTTTGGCAGCAAACATTACCTTGGCTAGGATGTGCTTGTCTTTGATGATGTACTCATAGGTTGTCAGCAAGACATTGAACTTCCCACTGCGGAGCTGGGGGACAAAAGCCCGTCTTGCTGCTGGAGAGCCCTGCGGGGACACGACAAACACACCTCAGCATCACAGGCAATGCAAGTGAGCGTGGCACCCCAGCAGCTGCCTGGATGGCACTCCTGACAGGGGAGAATGGCTTGGTCTTGCCAGAGGTGACATGCAAAGGTGGTGGGTAAGGGACTGGTTGGTGCTGACCTCGATGTACAGAGCACCAACTACAGGGAGAGGACAGCAGAGTGGGAGCCCCTTGGGGAGCTGTGCTGCCTACTACCTGGAGTACCTGCCCAACTGCTCCTTGGGGCCCCAGAGAAAGGGGCCTACTGCTTCCTGGCCCTCCATCACCTGCATGCCTGTTGGCTGAGCAACCCCTCTTCACAGGTTCTCAACCCAGAAGCTACAGCCCCTCCTATGCATACTGAGGGACACTGTGATCATTCCAGCCTTTTCCCTAGCAGCAAACCTGTGCCGTCCCTCATTTCCAAATCCTAACCCACATGACAAGGGTCTAAGATAGACATCAGGGCTTTGTCCAGGATCATGTTCCAGACACAAAATAAGCTTCAAGGCTCCCTAAACTATTATCTATAGAGCTACCCATGGTCCCTCAAACCCAACAGCTGCTGTCCTCTCTAGGCCCTCAAACACAAAGTGCTCTCTGTCAAGCTGAGAGCATCACAGCACAGGATGAAGGACCTGGACCTGGGAGATCTGCAGCAAGGGCAGCTGGTGCTAAGCAGGCCTGGCCCTGGGCCCACAGCACCTTGTGTACCCTGTCACCCAACAGCCCATGATGTATGTTCATTAGGTCCTCATACGCAAATGGATTTTTAATCAAAGCTTGGTTGAAAAACCACAAAATCCTCCATCAAAGCATCGATGTCTACTATGTGTTTCAATGTATACAATGTGAAAACTGTATTCCACAACTTGAGTCCATAATTTAATTTTTAAAAATATGCATTTATTCCCCCAAATAAGTGACCCCAATTCTGCAATATTATGACCCTATATATACAAAATATAAAAATGCACATAAAAATCCTGTACCATTAGTGTGCATGGATGTGCCTGTCTTCTCTTTCCCTCCCCACCCCTTGCCCACATCCCTTAAAGAGTCACAGGAAACCTTTGCAGGCTGTCACATACCTTGTAGGACACCTTTACCACAGAGGGTGCCCACTTGTCAAATTCGTATGCCCAGTTTGACAGTGTCCTGGTGGCACAAGGAAGGGATAGTCAAGTTTCATGATGATCAGAAACATCAGGGTCAACATGGTCACGGCTCTTGAGATTACAGGGTAACTGAATTTGTCACATACCAGCTGAGTGCGGGAAGGAAGGCCAGGAAGCACTAGGAGGCCCCTTTCTCTGGGGCCCCAAGGAGCAGTTGGGCAGAGAAGGGGAAGGCACTCCAGGTAGTAGGATCAGAAGCATGCCAACTGGAGATGAGGATGGGTACCTGCTGCTCGGATGGGATAAGCCAGAATGAACCTGGATGGGAGACCCATAGACTAGCTCTTTGGGAATACACCACATACTGGTGCCAGGAAAACCACATGGCCTCTTAGAGCCGGGTCTCAAGCTCAGAACTTTGCTAGTGATTGTGCTGTGCCCACCTGGGAAGGTAGGAGACACTGAGGGTTCTTTTCACCATCTCTGAATGAAAATGGCACTAATGACGTTTCCTGACAGTCAGACATGGAATACAGGCCATAAGCAGAAGTCTGGTCATGCTAGGGGAAGGGGAAGGCTAGAGCAGCAGGGACAGGGCAGGAGCAAAAAGCTGAAGCTGTTCCTCTTGGACAACCTAGGTCAGATGATGACAGGAGGGAGAGGGAAGATACAAGAGAACATGGAGCAGGTGGAACGTGGTGGAGGGAGTGGCAAGGAACCATTTCCTGGAGGGAACACACTCAGGAGAGTATGAAGGTGATGATAAGTTAAGATCACAGGAGTAGGATTCTGGGAGAAAGGTTGAGACATGAGTTTTTGGTAATGGAAGGAAGCCACTCAGAACATCTACACCAGGTGATTTGTAAAGACAAGACACAACACACAGATGAATAGCAGAGATGGTCAAGTCTCCCTTAGCACCTCCCTCCAAGTACCTCCACACTGAGGTGGTGGTGAGTCCACCACAAACTCACACTTCCCAGGCTCCCTAGCAGCCAGTCATTGGAATGGGCACAGTCCCAACCAATGAGATGAAGCTCAAATCACTGGGGTAAAAGGAAGGCAGCAGGTAGACTGGTAATATCTGATAATGTTTGGCTGCCAAAAGCTACTGTTGCCCTTTGCCCTGCCTATCAGCCTTGGAACTCAGATGAGATGGTGGAGGTAGTACAACCATCTTGCAACCATGAAGCAAGAATCTGAAAGCAGGTGTCACTGGCTAAGGGTGTGAGCAGAAAACTTCAGGAGTCTGAACACCTGATGGCATTGCAGAGTTGTCAGACCTGCCCCAGACAGCCTGGCGTGCAACTCCCCTTATGATCAGAAACACATCCCTGGTTCAGTCAGAGATCCTATTTCTATAACAAGGAGCAACAGGAGACAGTTGAGGGACAGAGAGAGAAACTAACAGCCAAAGCCCAAGGTCTACAGTAGGTGAGGCAAGAGCCACTATGACATGAAAGGAACTGAGAAGACAGGCCGGAGTGACAACTATCCAAGGCAAGGCCAGAGGTTCATGGCAGAGTAGTGAAGTCCCAATGGGTGGAATAGGGCAGCCCGGTGCCACAACACCAAACACGCCATGGGGCACATAGCTCTTTTGGCCTGGAGGAGATGATGCTGGACAGAGTGGATGCTTGCCTGGGGGAGGCATGGGGAGAAAAGGCCACAGGTCAGGCTGGGACACAACTTCACTGAGGTGAGTAGGGTAAGCTAGCACCAACAACCTTGGTAATGGGGTTTTAACTGCAATCTGTGAGCTTGGAGACAGGGGAAAGGTACAAAGCACACTGCACTCCAGTGAGGAAATGACTTCTCCAGGGGTGAACTGTTCTGTAACTGCTTTGTGCAGCTCCTGGGAATGGATGTGTCAGCAAGGAAGAGAGTTACCATGCACCCCATAGACCAGGCTAAGTGCGTTCAGCTCAACATAACCAAAGATGAAAGAGAAGCCGCTAAAGACTGTGTGTGCTGGGCTGGGGATGTGGCTCATGCGGTAGCGCGCTCGCCTGGCATGCGTGCGGCCCGGGTTCAATCCTCAACACCAGATACCAACAAAGATGTTGTGTCCGCCGAGAATTGGAAAATAAATATTAAAAAAAAAATTCTCTCTCTCTCTCTCAAAAAAAAAATAAAAAATAAAAAAAATAAAGACTGTGTGTGCACAGGGGTAGTACAGAGACTTGGACATCCTAGTGTGCTCCACTCTGAGGGCCTGGAACAATGACACTCAAAAGCAACAGGTACATGTGGAACCCAGCTTGTAGGGATTTTTTTTTTTTTTTCTTTGTTAGCTTGTTTTGTGGTACTGGGGTTAGAGCCAGGGCTTTGCACATGCTACAAAAGTGCTCTACCATGAAGGTTTCCAACACCATCCTCCTATTAGAGAAAGCAGGGCTCCATGAGAAGAGGCAAGGCTGGGACTGTAGCTCAGTGGTAGAGCACTTGCCTACCACAGGTGAGGCACTGGGTTCCATCCTCAGCATTGATAAAAGTAAGTAAATAAATAAATAAATTAAACTTATTATATGCAAAGAGAATGGGCAAATTCCAGGAAATGGACAGATAAACCTGGATTATCTCCAAACCACCACACTGAGGGGCCTGTCAAAGGGGCAGTTTTGTCCCCAAGAATTCCCAGTGGCCAAAGCTGGAAAGAATTAAAAACAAAACAGAACAAAAACAGTCCAGTAATGGTGTGTAGTCCAATGAAAAATTAAGTATCCATCAGTCCTTGCTGTAAAATGACTGAGAAAGGTAATAATTGGGGAGAATTCCAATAATGTCCACAACCTCACTACTCAGAAAGCTGGAACTGCACTCTACATTCTTGTGTGTGGACTGAGATTAGGAACATTTTTGAAAGAATACAGAAAGAAAGTGGAGGAAAAAGAGTAACTTCATAGCAAGCCATGTGATTAACCTGCTTCATGTTGAAGATCAGCAGTGACAGCAAGCTGACAGTGCGTAGCTTTGACACGATGAGTTAAGAAGAGCATTTCAGGGCTGGGGTTGTGGCTCAGCAACAGAGCGCTCACGTCACATGTACAAGGCTCTGGGTTTGATCCTAGGCACCATATAAAAATAAATAACTACAACTAAGAAATAAATATTTTAAAAAATAAATTTAAAAAAAAGGGCATTTCACCTCTGGGCTCTTCTGCCTAAAAGTCAGCCCTTGGTCAATCACTTAAAAAAAAGGCCAGAGGAAGACCCAAGACTGAAGAATGGTCTACAAAACACCTGATTAATCTCCCAAACTGTCATGTTGGGGGGCTGCGGGTGTAGCTCAGTGGAGGCAGCATGCCCAGCATGAACAAAGCTCCAGGTTCCACCCCCAGCACCAAAAGAAAAACCAAACTTATAGAAACTCTAAGGTCATGAAAACTATGGCAAGTTGAAGGAACTGTCACTGATCTGGAGGTTAAGGTGACAGCTAAATAGAACATGGGATCCTGGAAAATAAATGAACAGTGAGGAAAATAAAAGTGAGCCCCAAATAAAGTACATGGTTTATTTAGTAATAATGGGCTAGCACTGGCTCCACAGTCCTGGCAATGGGGCAGAGGGAAGGGAAGCGGGATCCACAGTAAGAGAAACCAGGCAAGAGGACACTGGAGTTGGCAACCTCTTTGTAAATCTAAAGCTACTGTGAACCAACTCTACAACAGAGTGACAGAATTGTGTAAAAAGAACAGGAACTAGCTGAAGAGATCCTAGGCCAAATCCAGGACAATTTAAGCAATAAACAAATATATCAATATTATCAAATATCCATGAGCACATTCTACTGCAAAAAACAGAGCAGCCGAATAAATGAGGGGAGGGACAGCTCTTTTTTTTTTTGTACCAGGGATCAAAAACAAGGGGCACTCAGCCACTAAGCCACATCCCCAGCCCTATTTTGTAGTTAATTTAGAGACAGGGTCTCACTGAGTTACTTAGTGCCTCACAGTTGCTGAGGCTGGCTTTGAACTCCCAATTCTTCTGTCTCAGCGTCCCAAGCAGCTGGGATTATAGGCATGTGTCACCATGCCCGGCGGGACAGTTTCTTTTTTTGTGTGTGTGGTGCTGGGGATTGAACCCAGGGCCTTGTGCATGTGAGGCAAGCACTCTACCAAATGAGCTATATCCCCAGCCCCTAGAACACTCTTTTTTTTTTTTAAAGAGAGAGAGAGAGAGAGAGAGAGAGAGAGAGAGAGAGAGAGAGAGAGAGAGAGAGAGAATTTTTTTAATGTTTATTTTTTAGTTTTTGGCGGACACAACATCTTTGTTTGTATGTGGTGCTGAGGATCAAACCCGGGCCACACGCATGCCAGGTGAGCACGCTACCACTTGAGCCACATCCCCAGCCCATGGGACACTCTTTTAACGGCAAAATTTCAACTAACATGCTGAGAGGAATGATGGAAACACATGACCATGAATTTGGCAACTCCTGTGTAATGATCATTTCAGGCAAGGCTCACCCACTGGTGACTGCAATTACAGAAAAGGAGGAGAAGTCGGATATTCATGCACAGGCTAAGTGCCACCCACAAGATACTAATTACAAAGAGAAACTCATAGGTTTCATAGCAGGGAAACCTGCAGGCACCTCATAACTGAGAAACTGAAGTTATCCTCCCATGACAGAGTGCCTTGCAGTTTGTGTCTTTGGCTACCACACAGAACGGGGCAGAGCACCACAACAGGACACATCAGACAAACCCAAACCAAGAGCCAGTCTCCCAGATGCCTGCCCGGGATTCAGATGTGTCAAGCTTGTGAAGGACAAAGAAGGCCTAGAAAATGCTGACTCCAGGCTAAAGTGGCCCTGTGAGCATCAGGCTGGGCTTAGGGGGCTGTGCTCCGGGACCTGGTCAGGTAACATACAAAGGCCTCGCCACGTAGAGCAGACCATACCAGGTCAGGGATTGGTTTAGGGCCAGATGTTGGACCCTAGCTGGACAAGGAGGGACATCTTGTGGTTTCTGGAAAAGGTCTAGGCAAAACCCTTTTTGTGGCAGGTGCCAAACTGGGAAGAGGGATAGATGTCAAGGGTGGCTGGCAGGCTCTTAGCCTGCTGGAAGGAAGACAGCAGTCGAGGTAAGAGATGACAAATGACAGACCCCCCCCCCCAGATAGTTGCTGGGTACCCAGATCCAACCATGCCTGAGCATCTGTGATATGTGGAAGAAACTAGGATGTGACTAAGAGAGCTCTGGGGTCCCTGGCAGGGTGCACAAGATAACATGGGAGTAGAAAGAGCATTTGCTCAACAGAGCCACAGATATTCTGCTCTCCAATGGCAGGCTTTTGTTTCCGGCAACCCCCATGTATGCAACTGCCTGGTTGTGGGCACAAAGGAGAAATCAAAAACATTTTGCAAAAGCTGCCCCAGGGGATGGATGGACAGGGACTCTTCCTTCAGCCCCTGGAAGTCAGAGGCAGGCTGGTAAGGACTGACTTGTGGCCCTCACTTTTCATATACTGAAGTTCTAATAACTGATACCTCAAAGTATGACCATATTTGGAGACATGGTCCTTAGTGGTAATCATGTTAAAACGAGGTCAAAGGATAGCCCCAATCCAATATAAACATCCTCATAAATTTCTATTGTTTAAGCTGGCCAGTCTGTGAAACTGTTAGGGCATCCCAGCAGACTCAGGGCGGGGGGTGTATGAGGAAAGTCCAACTACAGGAATCGGGAGCGGGTGCACTTACGAGAGAGGCACTATGATGAGGAAGGGCCCATTGATGCGCTTGTGCTCCATGAGGTATGTGATGAGCGCAATAGTCTGGATGGTTTTCCCCAAACCCATCTCATCAGCCAGGATGCCATTCAGGTTGTTGTTGTACAGGGACACCAGCCACTCCAAGCCCTTGATCTGTAGGAACAGAAATGGCCATCTTACAACTGAAACCTCAGACAGATTCCAAGGAACTGCTAGTCACAAGACCCACACAGACCACATCCCATTCATAGCCACCTGAATAAAGATTTTGCTCTGGACAAATCCAGTCCTTTTTGCTTAGTCTCGTTCTTAGCAATCTTTTTTGTGAAATCACAGGGTAGCTATGCATTTTAGTAATGTATGTATACAAAAGTTCTACTTCGTAAGGATAAGGTTTTTAGCTTAGTGATAAATTAGCATGTACGAGGCCCTAGTTCCATCACCAGCACCCTAAAAAAATGAAGATTCTTGTGCACATTAGAACATTTCATTTCTAACCTTTTTTTTTAAAAAATATTTATTTATTTATTTGTTATTGGCGGACACAACATTTTTGTTTGTATGTGGTGCTGGAGGATCGAACCTGGGCCGCACGCATGCCAGGCGAGTGCGCTACCGATTGAGCCACATCCCAGCCCCTCATTTCTAACCTTTATGATATCCATCTGACCTGCCTGACACTGACCTATACAGTGCACCTGGAGAAGCCTGCCCACACATGGTGACACATGGTGATGACGCTATCACATGACCAGTGAATCCCAAAATAGCATCTTGGATGATTATGGGCTTTCTGAAACTTGGGAGCTTTCAAAAATACAGGCATCAAAGTGAACACTGCTTTTACACTAAATACAAAATTATGAAGGAAATTTTTTAAGTTATTCCAAATGTTTAAGGAAGTAAGTTCTGGCTAATTTGCAATCCTTTTGGTTACAAAGGCCTTGGCAAAATTCCAGTGGGATTTTGGAAGCTGATATGAGCATGCAAGATCTGAGAAATCCCTTATGGAAAGTTGGAGAATTATAACCAAACAAAGTTGGAGATTATAACCAAACAAAATCAGGGAGATGTGTTTTTTGGCTGGAGTTAGGCCAGTTACCTTCTGGGATCTTACAGATGAGGTAGGGATGTGGGGCCATGGAAAAAGGACCTGCAGAAGGGCCTGCTCCCTTGCTGCAACAAAGAAGGGGTACATCCACGGCTGAAACTTCCCAAATCTACCAACTCTCGCCCTACCCAGAGCTCCGGGTGATACAGACAAAGGAGTCGTGGCGAGTTCTACAACAGATGTGGCCATTCCTGAGCCATGTGATTTTGAGCTATTACTAAACCTCTGTGCTCTCCTCCCCATCATAACACATGTTGAGGAGAAAGTGAGGCCTACACTGCAGGCCTATCAAGGGATTTAGAAACCCAGAGTGATGAAATAGTCTAATTTTACCTATATGGATCAGGTGGCCAAAAATTATTTACCGCAGCTTCATTTCCTTCTGGTAGTTAATAGATCATGTCTGCTTTATAGAGGGGAAGAGGGGCCAGGCACAGTAGTGTACACCTGTATTCCCAGAGACTTAAGACACTGAGGCAGGAGGATCGCAAGTTCTAGTCTAGCCTCAGCAACTTATCAAGGCCCTGTCTCAAGATAAAAAATAAAAAGGGCTAGGGATGTAGCTCAGTGGTAAAGTGCCCCTGGGTTCAAATTTTAATCCCCTATACCAAAAAATGGTGGTGGGAGTTGCCCAAAAACAAAAAGTGGAATATGAACTCAGGTCTGAGTACAACAGATACTGATAACCTCTACCAAGGTAGCTATGTTGGTGGGGCCTCCCCACCTCCTTTGGCCTTACCTGGTACTGTTTGAGGACACCGTTGACCATAAGTGCTGACTGTTTATCCACTCTCTCAGTGACAGCATGGGCCACTGCATAGTACGACTGCAGGCCACGAGCCAGGGCCTGGGACACACCATACTCATCATCAACGTCTTGCTTGGCATTCCTGAGAGCAAGATGGAAGTTCCGTGAGGACACACGTTCCTATTTCTGTCAATGTGCTGCTGAAGCAATCTGTGTTGAGTGGCCCTTTCTGTCCAATGACCTGTGGCCTAAACTAGAAGATATGAAGAAGTGCGACCAACAGCTGAGGACAGGAAGGGCAGCCAACATACTCCCAGAAGGACCAGAGACTGGGTGCTGTGGGGCTTCCACCTTTGCAGCCTAAGTATACTTGTCACATTAGCAACACTGCTGCTAATGAGAAACTGGTCATGTGGTTCATTTATTACTCTGAAAGCTCCTAGAACCTCCAGGGAAATAAATGCACACTGAACCATTTACAGTTTGGCAGTTTGAGGATCCAATCTGAATTCTTTCCTTTTTAAAAAGTGGCCTACATTCAACTACATTTATTTACATCAGACATGTGTGATCTATCTTCTGACATTTCACTTTATACTGGTTTTTATGTTCTTAGGAATCTTTCACAGTGAGCTGTGTTTTCTTATTTAGTGCAGGTTTTTGCCTCCAATATACTTCTGTTGACATCAATGTTTGCGGTAAAAATTCCTTATGCAAATATTCGAGACCAAAAGTATATGAGATTTTGGAATTTTTCAGATTTTGCAATATTTACATAGAGTAACTAATTGAACATCCCAAATTTGAAAATCTGAAATCCAAAATGTCCTGATACCTAAAACTTTCTGAACTTGGAGTATTTTGAATTTTCAAGATTAGGGATGCTCAACCTGCAATCTTTTTCTGTTCTAGCAGTAACCTTCATAACTATCATGTACATAAGACTCTCGATGTGCTATTTCATTGTAACAATCCCCATAACCTCCTTATCACAATTAATGATAAAATTAGCACATTAACTATAACTACACTTGCAAGAGCAAAAGTTAAGAAATAATCTAAGTGCCCACCACCAGCGGAAAAACTAGAGTACAGCTATTTGTTATATTCAGCTATGGAAGACAGTGGGGACACTCCCTGTGCAAGGACACAGGACTGTATATAGAAGAGATGACTTGATGAGAAAAATAAGGCTTGCCCCAGTATGACCTCGATTCATGCATACAAATAAAAAACACGTTTTGCTTATCAATGAAGCAAATCTCTCTGGAAGATGATACACATAATGCTGGAAATAAGCTTCCTTCAGCAAGAAAATGGTGGGGAGGGGCTGGGAAAATGGTGAGAAGAGAGAAGCTTTCTGTTGTCCAACCTACTGTACCTCATAGCCTATGATAAACCATGAGTGTTCTTCCTACATCAAATCCTATAAAAGTAAATAAAATCTACAGTGAAGAAAGTTGTTCAGTTTATGGTCTCTTGTGGCTGGTGATGGGGCAGTGGGAATCCCATCTAGGAAGAGTTGGGGCTCCAACTGCTTCTGCCAGTATCATCTTACAGAAAGATGGTGACAGAGGTTGTGACAGGATCCCTTACTCAATGATGTGCCGAGCATCCACCTCAGAGACATCATCACTATCTGGGTCTGGAATCTTCTTCTTCTCCTCCACAGGCAGGGTGGGAGGTTGTGCTGGCTGCGGCTGCTCTTCCTCCTCCTCCTACCAAGAGACAAGCTTGTTGTTATCCCAGTTTATCCCATGAGTGGGGTGAAGGGCTCCCAAGATAAAGAGATTTTGGAAGCAAATGATATTTCTTACAACCATTACTCTCTCTTCCTGGCCCAGAATGACATGCCTCTTAATTAATCCGTAAATTATTTTAGTTTTTCTAACTGATTCCACACAGTTCTTTAAAAGGTACCTCAGTATTCTACAGTTCTATTGCTATTAAAAGTAGACACCAGGGGCTGAGTCTGTAGCTCAGTGGCAGAGGACTTGCCTAGCATGTGTGAGGCACTGGGTTCAATCCTTTGCTCTACATAAAAATAAACAAAAGTTTATTTATTGTCCATCTACAACTACAAAAAATTTTTGGGGGGGAGAGTAGACACCATATCCCTCCCACCCCCATTAGGTAATCAATATTTAAACTTTGTTTGTTGCCTGACCTACTCAAGCAGTTTTTCAGTTGATTCCCTTGGATTCCCTGAATTTTAAGTACTTCATAGCCAACTTTCAATTTGTACTGCTCATAATTTATTTCCAGCTTCACTGACATGGTTCAAATGTCTACAATATGACACAATTCTAGTGATAACAGACAGCTTACTAAGGGGTTTTCTGTGAACTTGTACAGTAAGTGGGAGTACTGGGTTTCCTTAAAGGGCTTTTCTACCTTTACTGAACAAGTGATACTGGGACTTCACGTGACAGATTAATAAAAGACAAAAACACATTTCTTAGCGCTGAACCATTCTCGTACTCCTGTATAAATCATTTAATACCACAGTGGATTATTTTCCTTATCTGTAATGGAACTCTGTTTACAGAGTTTTTAAAAAAGCATCTGTAGTTAATCAGTTAAATAATTCCAATCAAAGAACAGCAAGATATCCTGTGGAACATGCAAAATGGTTTTCCAAATCATTTAAAATAAATGGTGAACAATGCAAAGACCTGCACCTGGCACCAACTTATTCAAACTAATAACATGATGTCTGGAATTAAAACAAGGAAGGGAATTCTGGTTAAATCCAAGAGGGGTGAGCAAATTTTTTCCCCAAAAGGCAACAGTAAAGTTGGACTAAATTGGCAAAAGTGACTATTTTAGAGGTCTGAGAGTCAACCAAAAATGATAGTCAAGGGCTGGGGATGTGGCTCAAGTGGAAGTGCACTCGCCTGGCATGCATGCAGCCCGGGTTCGATCCTCAGCACCACATACCAATAAAGATGTTGTGTCCATCGAAAACTAAAAAATAAATATTAAAATTCTCTCTCTCTCTCACTCTCTCTCTCGCTCTCTCTAAAAAAAAAAAAAAGAAAGAAAGAAAGAAAAAAAAATGATAGTCAAAAAAGTGCTAATCTCTGAAAAACTGCTGAGTTGGGAAAAGGAGAGAGGGAGCTTATAGTACTGCTACTTGGAATCACTTCTATTTCTTCCGCTGCCTTCAACATAAAGGTTTTGCTGGCCAGGCAGGACATGAGGTCTGGCAGCTATGGCTCAGAAGGTTGGTTCAGTCATACAGTAGCAGTAATGGCACTGCCCACATGGAGTGGCACTATTGGAGAAGGTGGGGTTCTCAGCATGGCAAAAGAGAGCACATTACTGGCAACACTGTACACATTTGCAGAGGAGATAAGAAAGGGCCCTATCACAAGTACTAGCCAGTACGGATGTGAAAATAGCCCCATTTTGGAATGTGTTCCGCTACCTGCAGATACTTTGGAAGGACACAGGCTTCTGACTCAAAGCATTTGAACACAATTTCTACCCACTTCATGACCAAAAAGTCACCAAGAAACACAATCTGTTCCTAGAGAGACAGGACTTTCAAAGAGGAGAAAATAAAAACTAAACTAAGCAGACATCAGATGCAGCACACATCATGAGGAAAACATTTCACAGAATTGGTTCAAACAGTAACTAAAAGACAAAAAATACCACCACACCCCTGCCAAGGGTTGGAAGTCAGAATCCACTGGGGCTAAAATGAACTTCAAAAGACAGAGGGAGGGGCTGGGGTTGTGGCTCAGTGGTAGAGTGCTCGCCTAGTTTGCATGAGGCACTGGGTTCAATCCTCAGCATCACATTAGTGTAAAATATTTTACATTTACACCTAAAACTTAAGAACAAATATTAAAAAAAAAAAAAAAAAAAGGACAGGGGAAAATAGTAGTCAATTGAACCTCTGTTCACAGATGTTGGAATTAACATACAAAGTCTTCAAAGCAGCTATTATTATAAATGTCTAAAGCTATTGTACATATATTCAAGGAACTAAAGGAAATGATATGAACTAAAGACAACAAATATAGAAAGCCAATAGAAAGCAAATTATAAACTTCCCAAGTTTGATGAAAAAACAAAACTATCCATAAAATAAGTTAACCAAACACCAAAAAGAATAAACACAGAGAGTTCTACAGTCTACTGGTAAGAGTTAAAGACAAAGTCTAGAAAGGAGAACAAAGAAAAATAAAGTATCCTACAATAAAGAAGAGCAACAATACAATTATTTGGTGGCAAAATTTTTATATGAAACAAATGGGTAGCAAGTACTGGAATAATATATTCTAAGTGCTGAAAGAAAGAAAGCTGACACCAAGAATTCTATGTCCAGCTAAACTATGCTTCCAGAATGCAGACAACAGAAATACATCCCAGATTAACAGAATGAAATATCACGTTGCTATCAAATAGCCTTATGGGGAAAAACAAAAACGAAACAACTAGAATTAGTCTTTCAATCATATAGGACATGACAGTATAGTGTGATTGAAATGCACTGGAAGAAATAGCACCAGAAGTGGTAATAATGTTTTCCATTATTTCTTCTCAATTAACACCTTTAAAATTCACAAGACTATAGCCAGGCATAGTGATGCATGCCTGTAATACAACGCCTTGGGAGGTTGAGACAGGAGGATCATGAGTTCAAAGCCAGCCTCAGCAAAAGCGAGGCACTAAGCAACTTAGTGAGACCCTGTCTTTAAATAAAATACAAAACAGGGCGAGGGTTGTGGCTCAATGGTCAATTGGCCCTGAGTTCAATCTCTGGTACCAAAAAGAAAAACTCACAAGGGCTGGGGATGTGGCTCAAGCGGTAGCGCGCTCGCCTGGCATGTGTGCGGCCCAGGTTTGATCCTCAGCACCACATACCAAACAAAGATGTTGTGTCCGCCGAAAACTAAAAAATAAAATATTAAAATTCTCTCTCTTAAAAACAAACAAACAAACAAAAAACCCCAGCATGACCTTTAAAGGTGTGTTTGCTGAAAAAAAAAAAAAAAGAAAAACTCACAAGACTGCATCACCATTAACTATAAGACTGTACAATATAGATATAATCTACATGACCAAAACAGCAAAGGAAAGGGAGGAAGTTGAGCTACATTAGAGCAAAATTTCTATATTTTATCAGAAGTATTAATTTCAAGAAAAATGTGATAAATTAAAGTGCATTTTATAACTGCAGAGTGACTACCAAGTAATTTTTAAAACACTATAAAAATTAAAATTTACAGAATAAGTCCTTACACTAAAAATCATTTAACCCACTTACATAAAAGACAGTAAAATGAAATGGAAGAACAAAAACAGGACACAGAAATGGCAAATGTTAACCTCATCATATGTTGTATCACATGTTAATGGTCTAAAATTAACTCAAACAAAGGGCAATTTATTGGAGCTGGGCACAGTGGCACATGCCTGTAATCCCAGCAGCTCAGGAGACTGAGGCAGGAGGATCCTGAGTTCAAAATCAGCCTAAACAACTGAGCAAGACCCTGTCTCAAAATAAAAATAAAAAGGGCTGGGGATGTGGCTCAGTGGTTAAGCACCCCTGGGTTCAATCCCCTGTAGGGGGGACAGGCCAATTACTACCATGTGACACTATAAATGCAACAACCAGCTGTATGTTCTTTTAAATTCAAATAAACAAGTAAATTTAAAAATGGAAAAAACATGCCATACAAACAAAAATCATAAAAAACTGGAGTGACTACACAAATATAAGACAGAATAAACACACACCTATCAACACATCATCAAAATACATGAAACAAAAGCTGTGCATAGTGGCACACATCTATATTCCAGCTATTCTGGAGGCTAAGGCATGAGGATTCCAAGTTTAAGGCCAATGTGGGCAACTTAGTGAGCTCATCCACAAAAATGGCTGTGGTATATAGCTTAGTGATAGCATGCTCGAGACCCTGGGTTCAATCCCCAGTCAAAAAGGAAAAAAAAAGTGACATAATTAAATAAATAGATTTTTCAACAAAAATTCTTGGTACCAGGCACTGTGGTACATGCCCATAATCTCAGCAACTCAGGAGGCTAAGGCAAAAGGATCACAAATTCATGGTCAGCCTTAGCAACTAAGCAAGAACCTGTTTCAAGTTAGAAATATCTTTAAAGAGCTGGGGATATGCACCAGTGGTAGAGTGCTTGTATGAGGCTCTGGGTCCAATGCCCAACATCCCCCCCCCCGCCACAAAAAAAAATCAAATTAGGTAACTAAAAATGAACAATTACTAGGAAGTCAAAATTTACAATGGTTTACAATGAACTCAAGAAACAGAAAATCTGAAAAGAATCCATAACAAATAATTGAAAGAATGATTAAAAATCTTAACTGCCAAGCACTTATCTAAAATCCTAGCAACCCAGGAGACTGAGGAAAGATGATCTCAAGTTTGAGGCCAGCCTCGGCAACTTATCAAGGCCCTAAGCAACTTAGCAAAACCCTATCTCAAGATAAAAAAAATCAAAAGGGCTGGAATGTGGCTTACTGGTTAAGCACCCTATGGGTTCAATCTCTGGTTCCAAAAAGGAAAAAAGAAAAAACTGCAATGAAAAGATCAGGCCTAAAGTAATTCACTAGAAAACCTAATCAATTTTAAGAACACCTGTTTTCACAAAAAATTCAGAAAACAGAGGAAGAGGGAATATTTCCCAAACCATTTTATAGAGTCTATATTAACCTAAAATCAGACAGAAACACAATGATAGAAGAAAACAAGAAAACAACAGCAACACAGGGCTAGGAGTATATATATATATATATATATATATCACTCAGTGCTAAAACACTTGCCTCTAGCATATTTGAGGGCCTACATTCATAAGATAAAAACAGAAACAAAAACAAAAACAAGGGCTGGGATTACAGCTTCGTGGTAGAGTGCTCGCCTCACATGTGGAAGGCACTGGATTCGATCCTCAGCACCACATGAAAATAAATTAAAGGTATTGTGTCAATCTACAACTAAAAAAATTTTAAAATACAAAAAATTTCCTAAATACACATTCAAAGACCTCAAAAAAATATTGTCAACACAGCAACATATGATTATAATATGTGTGATTACATACTACGACAAATTGGAATGCAAATTGAATACCCAGAAATTAATTAAATGAATGAAAAGCATTCTAACAGATAAAAGGCCAAAAAAAAAAAGAAAAGAAAAAGAAAAAAATATTTAATAAATATTTAGAGGGCTGGGGATGTGGCTCAAGTGGTGGCGCGCTCGCCTGGCATGCGTGCGGCCTGGGTTCGATCCTCAGCACCACATACAAACAAAGATGTTGTGTCCACCGAAAACTAAAAAATAAATGTTAAAATTCTCTCTCAAAAATAAATAAATAAATAAATATTTAGAACAAGGGAACTGGGGAGGTCTCAGTAGTAGAGTGCTTGCCTGGCATGTATGAGGCCCTGGATTTGATCCCTGGCACATTAAAAAAAAAAAAGAGAAAGACAAAATCTGGCACACATTCCTGAACAAAAGATTCTTAATAAACTACAAACAGAAGAGAACTTGCCTAATGAAGAACATCTATCAAAAACTTATCACTAATATCAACAGTGGCAGACTGAACATATTACCCCTAAAATGGAAAAGGCAGAAAATATTTGTGCTCTCCTAGTTTTTATTCTACTGGAGGACTTACCAAGAGCAATAAGACAAAAGAAAGAAAGAAAACTTTGACAGTAACATAGTCCTGTATGTGAAAAAACTAAAGAATCCACACCACATCAGAAAACAGAAAAAGTTTAAAACTAATCAAAAAAATTAAGAAAATAGTTCTATTCACAATAGCATCAAAAAGAATAAAATATATAAAAATACATTTTTAAAAAGAAGCAAAATTATATACTTTGCACACAGAAATTAAAAAAGATAATCTAAACAGCCAGGTACGGTGATGCACACCTATAATCCCAGCGGCTCAGGAGGCTGAGTTAAGAAGATGGGGAGTTCACAGCCAATCTCAGCAACTTAGCAAGGCCCTGTCTCTAAATAAAATACAGAAAATATAGCTAGGGACATGGCTCAGTGGTTAAGTGCTCCTGGGTTCAGCCCCTGGTACCAAAAGAAAAAAAAAAGGAAAGTCATTCAATATTCATGTACTGAAAGACTCAACACCACTAAGAAAACTGTTAAGTAGGGCTGGGAGTGCAGGTCAGTGGTACAGCACTTGCCCAGCATGCATGAGGCCCTGGGTTCCATCCCTCGCACCAGGGTGTGGCGTTGGGGTGGTGATAATAATTTGTTAAAACCAAGACACACTGGCATAAGTCTGTAACCCCAGTGAATAGGGAGACTGAGGCAGGAGGACTGCATGTTTGAGGCCAGCCTGGGCAACTTATTGAGACCCTGTATCAAAATATTAGGGTTGGGGATATAGCTCAGTGGTACAGTGGCCTTGAGTTCAATCCTGTTTATCATGAAAAAATAAAAAATTTAAAAATATTAGAAACCAGCTGAGTGCGGTGGTGCACGATTGTAATCCCAGCACTCTGGAAGCCGAGGCAGAAGGATTGTGAGTTCAAAGCCAGCCTCAGCAAAAGTGAGGTGCTAAGCAACTCAGTGAGACCCTGTCTCTAAATAAAATACAAAATAGGACTGGGGATGTGTCTCAGTGGTCAAGTGCCTCTGGGTTCAATCCCAGTACTAAAAAAATAAATAAATAAATAAAAAATTAGAAACCAAGCACACTGGAAGGAAAATTTGCAAGTTATATATGAGATCAAAGATGAAGATCTACACTACGTAAAGGATCTACATCTCAGTAAGATAACAACCCAATTAAAAATGGGCAAATGATCTGAACAGATTTCTATCAAAGGAGTTATATGAATGATACATGTGGGCATATGAAACAATACTGAACACCATTAGTTACTAAGAAAATGCAAATTAAAATCACAATGAAAAACCACCACAAACTCACTAAAATGGCTATAACCAAAAGGACACACAATACCAAGTGTTGGTGAGGACATGGAAGAAGAGGAACCTGTGAAATGGTATAGCCACTTTGGAAAACAGTTTGGCAGTTTCTTAAAAAGGTAAACATAAACTTACCATATGACCCAGCAATTCCACTCCCAGGTATCTACCCAAGAGAAATGAAAACATATGTCCACACAGAGACATGTTTGCAAATGTTCACAGCAACATTATTCATAATAGCAAAAAGAATGGAAACACAACTGCCCATCAATGGGTGTGTGGATAAACAAATTTCGATATCCACTAATTGGAACACATGACTCACAATATAAAGGAAAATAAGTTCTTGACACTCACAACGACAAGGATAAACCTCAAATTATGCTACGTAAAAAAATGTCCAGAGCTAGGGTGGTGGCTTAGCTGTAGAGCACTTGCCTAGCATGTACCAGGTGCTGGGTTTGATCCTAAGCACCAAATAAAAATACATAAATAAAATAAAGGTCCACAACTAAAAAATATATTTTAAAAATAAAGATTATTTATAGGAAATGTCTACAAAAGACAACTCAACAGAGACAGAAAGCAGATCAGTGGAGTCCTGAGGCTGGAGGAGAGAACAGGAGCTAACTGCCAAAAGGCTAGTTTTTGGCAGGTGATGGCAATGCATTAACACTGTGGTGATGACTGCACATCTGTAAAATATATGAAGAAACATTTCTAATGGGTACATTTTGTAGTATAGTATGTAAGTCATATTTAAAAATTCTTAACAAAATGTTATTGACCCGAGACTTATTAGAATACATATATTTTTTAAAAACCTGAAGATGACAGGTGACTCTCAGAAGATTGCAGTGGATATAAAAACAGAATATATCAATTTTTAAGTAGCATAAGGCAATGGGGAAGGGATATAATAAATGACACACTAACTGACTTAATACTCGGAGTGGGGGAAGAAATCAGAGTTCCCCTGCATACCCTATAGCTGGTAAATTCCAGATAACCTGAGGAGGAAAACAAAAACTCAACAAGGAAGGGTGACAGCAGGACAAGCCAAAAGAAACATACGATGAACACGGAGCTGGTGTCAGGCTGAGACTAAATATATATAAGGAGTGCATAAAATTCATAGTTAAAACATACTCACAACTGATTAGAAATGAACAAGCAAAGCAGACCATTCAGGGATGTTGACTGAACACTTGAACTTGGCTAGTGCAATAAAGTGGATTTAAATTTTATATAATGATTAATTTAACTTCAAGTGGAAATAGACAATGTGGTATGAAGGTACCACATGGGTCCAGCGCAGATCTAGAGCATCAAGTTTCAGCTCAGCTGGGGCCTCAGCTGCCCGCTGCCCCATAAGGTTTCCCACCAGTGAAGGTCACGGCGCACAGGGTGACATACACACACACAAGGTGGAAGGACCCACTACTGAGAGCTGAGGGTCTTGAAAGCCAGGAAATGGACTCTTACCTCCTCCTCTTCTTCCGAGCCACTTTCCTCACTATCTGATCTTGGAGCTACCTCATACCTAGAAAAAACAGTATTTTAACATAAAACCTCCTCAGAACTTGCAGAATATACATTCCCCAACGATGATATCCAAATGCAAGCAAAATAACCCTAGCTATCAACATCTAAAGGGAGCTCCCTGTTGCCTTAGTAACCTGGCTGCATCAGGAATGCGAGGTCCAACTTACCCTGGGTTCATCTCAAGCCAGGCCTCCAACTGCCCAGCTTTTGGGGCATCTGTGCCTGTGAGGATCTTCCCACTCTCCACATGGATGACTTTCACAGGGAGGTCACTCATCTGGCTGGTCTCGTCCAGAGGCTGAAAGAGAATTTACCACATGACCTGAGCTTCCCTGGGCTCCATCCCTGAGGCACCCAGAGGGAACATGACTAATTGTGACCAACTGAGAAAGGAATCTCTCAACCTCACGCCCAGAAAAGGTTGGAGAAACATGGCTGTTGATAGGAAAAAATGGGCTAATTATACAATCAGCCCTCTGTGTCCACAGGTTCTGCATTCAACCAACCCATATTTGGATGGGAAATATTTTAAATATTTTTTAAAATTTTTGTTTCTAGCCAGGCGTGGTGGCACACACCTTTAATCCCAGTAACTCAGGAGGTCAAAGTAGGAGGATCCCAAGATTGAGACCAGCCTCAGCAACTCAGTGAATCTCAGAACAAAAAGATCAAAAGGGCTGAAGATGTGATTTAGGGGTTAAGTACCCCTGAATTCAATTCCCACTACCAAAAAATAAACAAATAAATTTAGAAAATTTTTGTTTCTAGACCAGTGTAGTGATACATGATTATAATCCCAAGAACTTGGGAGGCTGAGCAAGAGGATCAAGTTTTGAGGCCAGTCTCAGCAACTTGAGAGGCTCTAAGCAACTTAATGAGACCCTGTCTCAAAATAAAAAGGGCTGGAGATGTAGAGATGTAGCTCAGTAGTAGAGTGCCCTTGGGTTCAATCCCCAATACCAATAAATAAACAAACAAACAAATTTTCCCATAGCAACAAAGACAGAATTCCTCATTTGAAGCTATTAACTTTAGATGAATGCTTTCTTCCTTCTCAGTTCCTTATTATTTCCCAAAGAAACCCTCCAGGATAAGAAAGAAGCTCTTGGTATACCTATTTTTTAAAATGGTGCACTCATGGAGTTGGGGCTGTGGCTCAGTGGTAACACACTTGCCTGGCATGTGTGAGGCACTGGGTTCAATTATCAGCACAACTATAAATAAAATAAATAAAGGTCTCTCAACAACTACAAAAATATTTTTAAAAAATAAAAATAAAATGGTACGGACTGGGGATGTGGCTCAAGCGGTAACGCGCTCGCCTGGCATGCGTGCGGCCCGAGTTCGATCCTCAGCACCACATACAAAGATGTTGTGTTCACCGAAAACTGAAAAATAAATATTAAAAAAAAAATTCTCTCTCTCTCTCTCTTTAAAAAAATAAATAAATTAAAATAAAATGGTGCACTCACTGTCAACACCATCTGTATTCTGAGGGATATCATCTCCATGCACATGAAAAACTCACCCAGAGCAGCCCACCTCTGCGTAAGCAATGGGTTCTCCAGATTAACTCAACAGGAACTCTGAATACTGAATATGTCAAAATTCTGACTGATGTGCCCTGGGGAGAGGCTTGGCCATGTCAATTTTTTAAAACTACCTAGATGACGGAAAGCACAGCCAAGGCTGAGAACAAAGAAAATCCCCACACAGCATCCTGTGACAGACATGAACAGGGGAGTGCCACAGCAACAACTCAACAGAACTCTTTCAGGTGAAATCGTTTCAGAGAATTCTGTCTTTGATAACTCGCAATAGTCATTCACTTCTGGGAGACTGGTCTGTAGAAAAAATATGCATCTGCTGAAGACTCAATTTTGTCTCTCCAAAATCTCTACACTGAAGCCCTAACACCTAAGACAACAGTGCTGGGAGACGGAGCCCATTGGCCATAATCAAATCAGATGAAATCATGAATGCAGCCCACTCATGATGGGATTAGTGCTTCATATGTGACACCAAGAGGTAGGGGCTGTAACTCCGTGGTAGATACATGTTAGCACACATCAGGCTTTGGGAGTCATTCCCAACACCAGGAAATGAAAAAAAATGAGAAGGTACAACTGGGTGTAGTGTCCAGTTACTTTGGGAGGCTGAGGTAGGGGATCATTTAAGCCCACAAGTTCAAGACCAGCCTGGGCAATATAGAAAAACCAAGCCTCAAACAAAACAAAACAAACAAAAACACACCAGAGATTTCTTCTACTCTCCCTATCCACACCACAATCCCCAATGTGAGAATAGCAATGGCCACCCATTACCCAGGAAAGGAGCCCTCACCAACAATTAACAATGTGAACACTTTGATCTTTACTCATAGCCTCTAGAATTGTGAGAAAATAAATGCCTGTTGTGTAATTCCCCAGTCTATCCTACTTTACTATGGCAACACGAGTTAATCATGACAGCATGAAAATACAATGGACAAGCCAGGTGTAGTGGTACACACTGAAGTCCCAGCTACTCAGGAGGCTGAGGCAGGAGAATTATAAACTCAAGGCCAGCCTGGGCAGCACAAAAAATAAAAAGACAAAAAACATAAGGGACAATGATGCCAATACATGAATGTGCAACAGGATGGAAGGAGACAACTGAAAGTCCCCAGGGGAGAAGAGTTAAGCACGTGTGGTACAGGAGAGCAATTCAGAGCAGCATCTTTGCAGCAGCTATGAACTGAAAGCAACCTTCTAAAAAGTTATTAATCTTGAGCTGGAGATATAGCTCAGTTGGTAGAGTGCTTTCCTCGTGTGCACAAGGCCCTGGGTTCAATCCCCAGCACCACACACAAAAAAAGTTACTAATTTTAAAGACCAAAAAAACACACACATTAAAACAAAAACAGAGAGCCAGGTGTGTTGCTACTCAGGAGAATGGGACAGGAGGATCAAGAGTTCCAGGCCAATCTGGTCAATATGACAAGACCCTGTCTCAAAATTTGAAAGACATGAAAAATAGAAGTGCATGCCTCAATATGGAAAGTTGCCCAAAACACCTCCTAAATGAAAAAAAGTCTGTCTCACCAGCCTATGAGAGAGCTTGTTTCATGTGATCATTTTTTTCCTACAGTGAGTATGACATTCAATTAAGCAGGTGGCAGCCATCTCTATCAGGGAACTTTAGAAAGGACAAAGTAAGCTAGGCACGGTGGTACACAGCTGTAATCCCAGCACCTTGGGAGGCTGAAGCTGGAGGATTGGAAGTTCGATATCAGCCTCAGCAACTTAGTGAAACCCTGTATCAAACAAATTTTTAAAGAGGCTGGGGATATGGCTCAGTAGTAAAGCATCCCTTGGTTCAAACCCTGGACAAAGGGAGAAAAAAGTACATGAAGTCATCTAGAAAGACTTCTCAGATACAATTCTAGACAAGAATCAGAAACACTGAGGGGCCATACAAAGGAAGGGTACTGGGTAGCTATGGTGTAGCTCAGTGGAAGAGCATGTTCTCTGTGCGCAGGACATCCTGGGTACAATCCCCAGCACAAGAAAAAGAAAGAAAGGCATGGAGAAGAAAAGTATAGCACAGCAAGCAAACACCCCAACAATGCACCATGGTTTCCCTCCCAGAAGGACTGAGAGGGATGGGAAATGCTCCCTTTGTTCATCTTTTTTTTTTTAAAGTTGTCGATTGACATATTTATTTCTTTATATGTGGTGCTGAGAATTGAACCCAGTGTCACATGCCAGGCAAGTGCTTTACCATTGGGCTACAATTCCAACACATTGTTCATCTTTTTATACATTTTTTTTTCCCCAAATGAGCACATGGAATGAGAACGGTGGCAGGTAATTATCACGTGGAAAAGACAGGCAAGCAGGGATAGTGACCCCTCTTCAAGTGAGCCACTTCATACTGTTCTGACTTCTACAACCATATTCTAAATAAATAAATAAATCGTGTGTGAAAAAAATGAAACCAGTAAGAATGGAAGAAAGGGCTGGGGTTGTGGCTCAGTAGTAGAGCACTCACCTAGCATGTATGAGGCACTGGGTTCGATCCTCAGCACCACATAAAAATAAAATAAAGATATTTATATTATAACTTATAACTAAAAAATAAATATTAAAAAAGAAAAAAAAAGAAAGAATGGAGGAAACTACCACTAATGGGGTCATGAGGGAAGAATTCCTCCCAAGTAACTTCTCAACAAAGCATCTAGAACATATCCTCTCAGGCTGAAGGATCATAAGCAAACACTAATGCTAGCTGGGAGACTTCTTCATAGACTATGGGTTAGTATGCTTTCTGTGTATCCTAGAACTTAGTAAGTAAGTGTATCTTGGCTGATGGTAGCCAGGTTACTGACTTCAGAAATAAGGAAAAGGTGAAGGAAAGAAATAACACTGAGGTGAGGGATTAGGATTGTAGGTATCAGGGTGATGGCATGTGGCAATTAAGTGCACACATATCTATTCCCTAAATCTAGCTGCTGAGAGAACCTAAGAGCCATTACAGCCACCAGCAATAAGCACACCCAAAGCAAGATTTGAATTCTATTTTTTTCTAATAAAATGAACCAGGACTCTAAGAAAAGAGACTGACTCAGGGCATGGGCAACATAAGCAGCTTAGTCTGTTAAAAAGGACGCATACAAAGAATGATAGGGACATATCAAAAGAACAGGAGCCAATATGAAGGGGATCATACAGGCCCAAATCAAATAATCAAAGTGAGTAATAGTAAAAGATTATAACCCATTAAATCAAACAAGGGATTGAGATGAGGATCAGGTAAATAACTTGCTGAGCATATGAAAAGCCTCATATTTGATCCCCAGTGCCCCACCAAAAAAAAATAACGATGATGATAATGATGGCGATGAAATCTAAAACATAAAATAAAAATCCATAAAATTATGTATACCAAGGGTTATCAGACTATGACCCCTAGACCAAATGGGAGAGAAGATGCAGCTTTATTTATGGAGAAAGGCAACTAATGAATGCACAGAAATGATGGGGTAACTTTCATTGCAAAAACCAATGCAGTGCTGGAGTGGTGGCTCAGTGGTAGAGCGCTTGTCTAGCACATGTGAGGCATTGGGTTTGATCCTCAGCACCACATAAAAATGAAATAAACATATTGTGTCTACCTACAACCAAAAAATAAATTTTTTTTCATAATTTTTTTTTAATATTTATTTTTTAGTTTTCGGCGGACACACCATCTTTGTTTGTATGTGGTGCTGAGGACTGAACCTGGACCGCACTCATGCGAGGCGAGCGTGCTACCGCTTGAGCCACATCCCCAGCCCCCCCAAAAAAATATTAAAAAAAAACAAAAACAATGCAGCATGAAAAAGTTGGAGAGCTAAAATATATTCACATAGTCTCTAGTACCACAAGGTACTTACTGACTACTGGAAAAGCAAAATAAATTTATAACAGAGGCAGACAGCAAGTGATCAGGGTCAATGTCATCAGTGCATTATGTGGCTCAGTGGTAGAGCACTCACCTAGCATTATTCTCAACATAATGCACAGAGGAGGACAAAGGGTTACTTTTGAGGTCTTCTTGCCAAAAACACATAAGCATCTAGTAACAAGAAAACATCAAACCCAAACTGAGTACCACCAAATGAAATACCAGCCTGTGCTTCTCAGAAAATCAATGTCATGAAGGTCATAGAAAAAGCGAAGAGAGGTTCAAGATCTAAGCAGACTAATAAGAGATCTCTAGTAAATGCCATCGGAGGTTTTTGGTATTGGGAAGGGTGTTGGAGGGTCATGCGGAAAATCATAATGCAAAGGTGTGTATGTAAAATGAGACTATCACATCAACATCATAACTACCAGGGTGCAAGATGGAAGAGAATGACCTTGCCTTTGGGAAGTAACACCAAAATCAGGGAAGTGAAGGGCTGTCAGCATGTACCTTACTCTCAAACTGTTTAGGAAAGAAGACAAGTGAAAACAACAAAGTAAAAAATCTATATACAAATAAGGTAGGACAGGACTTGCACAAAAAAGGGATTTGGTGGGGAGGGGAAATAGGCCTAGCTAGGCACAGTGGTGCACGCCTATAATCCCAGCAACTCAGGAGGCTGAGGCAGGAGGATTTCAAGTTTGAGGCTAGCCTCAGCAACTTAGCAAAAGTCTAAGCAACTTAGTGATACTGTGGCTAAAAATTAAAAAAAATAAAAAGGGTTGGGAATATAGCTCAGTGGCAAAGTACCCCTGGATTCAATTCCCAGTACCAAAAAAAAAGAAAAAAGGGGAAATAAAAGGTCTGGAAACAAACACACCCAGTGAGTGGGATGAAAGTGATGTACACACTACATTCTTATAAATGCTCATTATATATGGCTTTTGTGGTTTACAAAGAAAAGATTTGGGAGACAGGATGCATTTTAGTGACAGAGTAAAATTGCCTAGCATAAAGCACAGGGTTCAGGAAAAAAATAAATTTAGAAAACCAATAATACTTTTAAAAATAGACAAAGACTTCTGGGCTAGGGGATAGATCTCAGTAATACAGCATTTGGAGGCTAGCACACACGAACCCTGGATTCCATAACCAGAATTTCTAGAAAATTATACAGACCCACACTGCAAGGTTGTTGGCATTTCCATAAGAAATCCCTGCTTCCTCACCTCGCCATCCGGTCCAATTGCAGGTGTCTGCCCTTCAGCATTTTCTGCCTTCTGGAAGTAAAGAGAGACATAGGTGACCCCACAGGCTAAGGCCACCCATATAGACACTCTTCCAGACAGGGCTCAGCGCACCTTCTTTTTCTTTTTCTTCTTTTTCTCCTTGGCAACCTGGGCAGCCTTATGCTGCCGTACCAGCTCTGTGAGGTTGGCCACATACTCGTCTGTCTGCTGCAAAAGGTAGGCCAAGCGCTTGTCCTTCTTCTGGTCGATGAGTTTGCGGTAGCCCTCCTCATCTTCAGCCTAAGAAGTGTGGGATTGTGACACTGGTTTGTAGGACCTGCACATCTGCTGGCCTCCAGCAAACCCAGGGGCAAGAGCCTCACTGGGGGTTTCATTAACCAGCAACTCGCAGAACATTTCAGAGCAGTTGGTTCTGATCCCACCCTGCTTCAAAGGCATCAGCTCCCCCTTCAGTATCACCTCAACACATACCTAGTGCTAGACCCCAAAACAGACATGGACCTGCCACAAGCCACTCAGAGAGACCACAACCAAGTCCTGTCCTCTCAGTCTAGAAAACACATCCCAAATCCAAACCCTCTCTAAGCTACATCATTGCCACAAAACCCCACAGCAATCCCCTCTCCTTTCTGAGATCACTTCAATCTGGAGCTGAAGCGCTCCTGGAGCATTCCCTTATGTTCAGAATTAATTTCCAGTCCTAGCAATGGCCTGCAGGTCCCATGGGCCCACATGCTCACCCTTGCAAATTCTTGACCTCACTTCCTGCCCCAATACAACAACATTTCACGGACACAGGGCCACTTCTTCTGTCTTGTACTTGGTTGTCTGCCATTTCTGCCCTCTCTTTCTGGGAATCCTTCCTGCACATCTCTGCAGGGTCATGCTCACCCTTTGAGCCTCTGTTCTGAGGCCTTCTCATTCCCCTGCTCTGTTCTCTGCACTGTCTTTTCATCATTCCAAACTAGCACATTCATTTCATTCAAAAAACTAACTTTCTCAAGTGCCTATACCACCCAAGAGGGCAGGGACTACGTCCTGTTCCCCAGTGTATCCTCTGTACCCTTAGAAGTGCCTGGAAGAGTGGGCCAGCAGTGTCTGCCCAACTAGTGACTCATTCATAAACAAACACGTTTATTCTGAAGGTAAAGAGTGTAGACTTCATCTTCTGTGGCTCTCACTCAAATAGGGCAGAGAGCACCAGCTCCTTCTCTCCGGAGACACAGGACAGTCAGTGAACAAGCCCTAAGACCATGTTAGCCACTCTGATGGCCAGAGGGAACAGAAGATCTGAGCCCAGGACTCGCTCCCTCCCAAACCCAAGCTCCAACTCTAATCCAAGCAGCAGAATGCCTAGCATGATCCTGGGTTAACAGGCTGCTGGTACCCGAAACACTCAAAGCACACAAGGGACCAAAAGCAAGAAAACAGAACTCTTACCATGAGCCTCCGCATTCTTTCCTTCTCAATTCGTTCATTTTCTTTCTTCTGCTCTCGCTCTGTGTTGGCATGGTATGTGGCTACTGCCTTGGTGAGTTTCTGGATTTTGCCTGTGACTGATCTGTGATATTCTTTAAAATCCTTGGCATGCTGAAGAATGCTATTGAGGTATTCCTGCCGAGACATGTGCAAAAGAAGACTGAACACTCAACGGAAGTCATCACAATGTCACCCAGAGTCAGACAGGACAAAAAGAAAGCTGGGCATGGCCAGGCGCAGTGGAGCACGCCTGTGATCCCAGCATTTTGGGAGGCTGAGATAAGAGTTCAAAGCCAGCCTCAGCAACAGCAAGGCACTGAGCAACTCAGTGAGACCCTGTCTCTAAATAAAATACTAAAAAAGGCTGGGAATATAGCTCAGTGTCTGACCACCCTGAGTTCAATCCCTGGTACAAAAAAAAAAAAAAAAAAACTCCTCAAAATAAAAAAATAGAAAGGCCTGGGAATGTAGCTCAGTGATGAACTGCTATTTTATCTTGAAAAAGATAATAAAAATTTCCCCAGCATTGCAAAATAAACAAGAAAAACAGATTGTGTGTAAATTTCATACAAAAGTTCTTAGCTTTTAACTAGCTTTTAATTCATGAATACACAAAAAAGGGAATTGTGCATTCAAATTGCAAATAATAAAAAGTTGGGCTGGGGATGTGGCTCAAGCGGTATCGCGTTCGCCTGGCATGGTGAGGCCCGGGTTCGATCCTCAGCACCACATACAAAGAAAGATGCTGTATCTGCCGAAAACTAAAAAAAATAAAATAAAATAAATATTAAAATTCTCTCTCTCTCTAAAAAAATAAAAAGTTAACAGTAGGGCTGAGGTTGTGGCTCAGTGGTTGGTTGAGCGCTTGCCCTTGCACACACACGAGGCACTGGGTTCGATCCTCAGCATGCATAAATAAATAAATGATATTGTGTTCCTCTACAACTAAAAAAATTTTTTTTAAAAAGTTAAGAGTAGGGGCTGGGGATGTGGCTCAAGCGGCAGCGCGCTCGTCTGGCATGCGTGCGGCCCGGGTTCGATCCTCAGCACCACATACCAACAAAGATGTTGTGTCCGCCGAGAACTAAAAAATAAATATTAAAAAAATTCCCTCTCTCTCTCTCTCTCTCTCTTTAAAAAAAAAAAAAGTTAAGAGTAGTTAATACTGAATATTAAAAGATATCAGAAATACATGTTCATTATTTAAAAACTTCAGGAAATATCAAAGAGCAACAAAATGCACAGAATCAGCTCCAAATCCTCTCGGATGAGGACTTTAGACTGTGAAGCTGACCTCGTAAAGTCATGTCAGGTTCTCATTTGCTCAGCAGGCTCTGTGGCTCTCACCCCATGCCAAGCAAAAGTCAAAGTCTTCTCCATGGTCACAGACCCTATACCATCTGCCTTGTCACATCCTTGCCCTCACCTCTTCAGCTCTCCCTGTCATTCACTCCACTCCGGCTACACTGGGATCCTGGCTTCTCAGAGAAAACAGAGGCACATTCTAGCCCCAGGGCATTTTCATCTGCCCCTGTATCTGGACTGCTCTCTGCCCAATGTCCCTGTGAATCCCTCCTTTGGGTCTCTCTGTTCAGATCTCACCTTCCCAGAGAAACTTTCCTGATCATGTCTTCCTCACTCTTTCCTTGCTGTACTTTCCTCAGATCCTACACCTTCACAATGGGATACAGGGATTTCATTATTGCCCATCCCCTCCCTGTGGCTTGGTTTTGACCACCAGTGTATTCTCAGTGCCTAGGAGACTGGTAAAATGAACAGAAAAGACTAGTGTGTCTAGAAACAAAACATACAAAGTCCCATCCCGGTGCAGGCTATAATGAGCAGGCACCCAAGCAGCCCAGGAACAGCTCTGGAACTAACCTGGTGCTTCTGGCGGCGTTTGCGCTCCTGCTCAATCTTTTGCTGTTTCTCTAGCTTCTCAGTGATGCGGGCCTCTCGCAGGGACTGACGCTTGCTGCGCTTGTAGGCCTTGGCATTAAGGGCCGTCTCCAAGGCTGTGTCCCTCCGCATGCACACCACAACCTCCTGGCGTAGCTTCAGGGAGGAAGAAGAAACAATGACACTGAAGAAGATACCTCTGCTGTGCCCACAGTGAAATTTATAATTGCCGATCATATACAAGGCAGGCGATGCTGCCTCCCAAAGGATCCTAATTAACTGCCTTATGCACCCATGGGTGGTACAGACAAGAGCAGAAGGTGAGCATTCTGCACACCTGGTCAGAGAATCTTCTTGTGCCTCTTGTCTCCAGCTTGTCTTCCCACAACACAATACAATTCCTTATGAAACACTGGAGAGTCACTCCACTCTCCTGCTTCTGTAGGCAACTGGAGCTTAGGGAAGGCCCACACTTGTATATTATGTGAGCAGCACTGCCCCACCATGGAATAAGACACAAGGAGAGGGTAAGACAGTGGGTTAATATATGCAGGTTGGCATGGCTGCCTAAACTATACAGGTACTCTGGATGATAGTCCTGCAAGAAGTTTTAGGGGTCTCAGCATGACAGGTGGTGGGGAAGGCCTATTCCCTAGATCCAGGACCACACTGGAACTTACCTGTCTCTGGAAGTTAAGCAGCCTGAGGGCCTTGAGCTCAATGGTCGCTTTGGTTCTCAAATCCCCGGCCAGGGACCCGGGGAGATTTTCAAGTTCCTGAATTCGATGTGCAATGCGAGCCTGCAGCCTAGGCGCAAAGAAAGGGAAAGAAAGGATAGGTGGTAAGAGGGACTATATTTATAAGAAGCCACCTGATGTCTTTAAAGCCAGAGCTTCTGAAGACTCTATCTCTCAAGACAGACAGACCTGGCCTTGAGACATGAACTCCCTCAAAAAGGATGCCAGCCAAAACATAGGACAGAGAAGGCAGCAAGAAAGTTTCTTAGGACCAAGCCACACAAACCACAAAAATCAAGACACCTAGTGGCTGGCTCATGGCATATTAGTAGTGACTTTCTGGCTTCAGACTAACCAGAATCTGTCCCTATCCTGGCATGGATGAGACACGGGGCCTCAGAAATCAACTGAGCCAGAAAATGTTCAACATCACTACAATTAGAGAAATGCAAATTAAAACTATACTGAGATTTCATTTCACCCCAATCAGAATGGCAATTATCAAAAATACAAGTAACAATAAATGTTGGCGAGGATGTAGGGGAAAGGTACAACCATACACTGCTGGTGGGATGGCAGATTGGTACAACCACTCTGAAAAGCAGTATGGCGATTTCTCAGAAAACATGGAATGAAACCCCCATTTGACCCAGTTATCCTACTCCTCAGCATATACCCAAAGGACTTAAAATCAACACACTATAGTGACACAGCCACATCAATGTTTACAGCAGATTAATTCACAATAGCTAAGCTATGCAACCAACTTACTACCAGACAACAGATAAATGCATAAAGAAAATATGGTGCATATACATAATGTATGGCTGGAATATTACCCAGCCATAAAGAAGAATGAATTAGGGCATTTGCTGGTAAATGGATGGAACTGGAGACTATCATGAAATAAGCCAATCCTCAAAAACCAAAAGCCAAATGTTCTGATATACAGATGTGGACTCCGATGGCGGGGGGGTAGGGGGGGTTTAGCTAGGTTGGGGAGTAGGGGCAGATAGGAACGGGAAAAAGTAGAATAAATAGGAGATAACTTTTCTATGATTATATATATATGCACAAACAGGGCTAGGGTTGTAGCTCAGTGTTAGAGCACTTGCCTAGTGCATGGGAGGTACTGAATTCAATTCTCAGCACTACAAATAAATGAATAAAATAAATGTCCACTGACAACTAAAAAACATATATGTTTTAAAGAAGAGCCAGGCTCAGTGCCACATGTCTGTAATCCCAGCAGCTCAGGAGGCTGAGGCAGGAGATCACCAATTGAAAGCCAGCCTCAGCAAAAGCGAGGTGCTAAGCAACCCAGTGAGACCCTGTCTCTAAATAAAATATAAAATAGGGCCGGGATGTGGCTCAGAGGTCAAGTGCCCCTGAGTTTAATTCCCAGTACCCAAAAAAAAAAAAAAACCACAACCAGTATAACTCCACATCATGAACAACTACAAAAATGGAAAGTTGTACTCCATATATTTTTTGCTGTCATGTATTAAAAAAAAATAGTTCTGGGGCTGGGGTTGTGGCTCAGTGGTAGAGCACTTGCCTCGCACTCTGGGTTCAACTCTTAGCACCACATAAAAAATAAAAATAAAAAACAAGTGAAATAAACGTGTTGTGTCCAACTACAACTAAAAAATAGATTAAAAATAGTTCCAAGGCTTCTAATCAAATCAAAATAAAAACAAAAGTGCACATGCGTGCGCACGCGCACACACACACATGCACACACACACACAGAAATCTATATCTATTGAGCCAGGCTAGGGTTGTGGCTCAGTGGTAGAGCGCTTGCCTCACAAGTGTGAGACACTGGGTTCAATACTCAGCACCACATAAAAATAAATAAAGGCATTGGTTGTGTCCATCTACACCTAAGAAATAAATATTTTTAAAAAATAAAAATAAATTTAAAAAAAGGTACCATGTCCATCTACAACTAAAAATATAAGAAATCTGTTGAGCCTATTAGCCTCATTGTCCTCATCCATAAACTAAGGACACCCCTGAGAGTAATCTACAGGCTTGATCTGAAGGTTAAATGAAACAATCCTCTTGCTCAGTCTTTCACACACTTACTTACAGAGCACCTACTATGCTGCATCAATTTTAGGGTATGGAGTCTCAGCACTGAATGCAACCATCAAGGTTGTTGCTCCCATGGAGTTTGCAGTCTCATTGAGAAGGCCAGAAGGGATAAAAAAATAAACAGTAGGCTGGGAATATGATTCAGCTGTGACTCAGTGCTTGCCGAAGATGGATCCTTAGCACTGGGGCAGAGGAGGGAGAGGAGTAAATCCTCCACTAATTCCAGAGTGGCTAGTGCTTGGAGGAAAGGCCTGGAGTGAGGGGGTCTGGGAAGAGCTTCTATGCAAAGGGAGACCTCAATGGCCACATGGGGACAAAAGTGGGAAGCCACTTTTGTTGGTCTCAACCTGAGAAATGGATGTAAATCAACTGTAAGGACTTACACTGCTATGTTGAAGGAGGCGCTGCAAAACTGGAAGGCTGGGAGGCTCCTGGGCGAGTTGGGCAAAGCTATCACCACTCCAGTGACTCTCAGGATGAGGAACCACACCTTAGCCAATCCAAGGAGCCAGTGGGCTACGTCTCACCTGTATTCCCGCTCCTGCAGGATCTCCACAGGGTCCAGGCCCCTGGGCTTCTGGATGGGGGTGATGCGGCTCTGCTTCTGGTGCAACGGCACCAAGGGTGCGGGCTGGGCTGGCTGCCCTGGGGACTGTGTCTGAGGTGGCATCACAGGTGAAGCAGCAGGCGGGACAGCAGGTGGCGCAGGCGAAGGGCGTCCTGTCGGCTGCGGGGGGATCAGTTTCTGAGGGGTGCTTGTGGGGGCAGCAGCATTCGCCATGGGTCCTGGGGAGAGGTGAGCAAGATGGAGACATGTTAAGCCCAGGGACAATTCTTCAGTGAAAATGCAAAGCCTGCCAGGTGGCTTGCTACCTGGGAACAGACCAACCTCTCCCCACCTCCTTCCTCTCACCCACCAAATGCCACGCTGCTTCTCACCCAGGCATCTGCCTCCCTCCTGCCTCAGGGTTCATCTCTCTTCCTGATCTCCACTCCGCTCCCTGACCCCAGTCTTCACTCATCCACATCTTTCTGGCCTCTGGCCTCTTAGGACCCACATTTTCTTGTCTTTCCTCTGCAATAGTCCCCCCTCTCACCAGCAGCTTCTTTTTCTGCTATTTTAGTTACCCTCAGTCAACCACAGTCTGAAATATTATGTGAAAAATTCCAGAAACAAACAACTCATTAATTTAAAATTGTAACCTGTCCTGAGCAGTCACATCACACTGCTTACATCATTTGCCTCCCTCCATCTTATCAACTTACGTCATCACAAAGAGTGAGGACAATATACCAGGGTTGTTTTTTGCAGCACTGGGGACTGAATCCAGGGCCTACTACATGCTAAGAAAGTGCTCTAGAATTAAACCATATCCCCAGCCCAAGTATTTTTACTTTTTTATGGCACTGGGGATTGAATCCAAGGGTATTTTACTGTGAGCTCCATCTTTAGTTAATTAGTTTGTTTGTTTATTTATTGATTGATTGGTAACAGGGATTGCATACCAGGGGCACTTAACCACTGAGACACATCCCCAGCCCTTTTTAGGTTTTATTTTGAGACAAAATCTCACTAAGTTGCATAGGCCCTCACTAAGGTGCTGAGGCTGGATTTGAACTTGTGATCCTTCTGCTTCAGCCTCATAAACTGGGATAACAGGTGTGTGCCACTGTGATCAGGTTAATTTTATTTTAGGATCTCTCTAAGTTTCCCAGGATGGACTTGAACTTGCCATCCTCCACCTTAGCCTCTTGAGCCAATGGGGTTACAGGCATACATCACTACACCTAGCTAATAAGATAATTTTAGAGACAAAGACCTTATTCACAACTTTTACTACTGTGTGCTGTTACAATTGTTCCATTTTATTGCTAGCTGTCTCTCATATCTGTGACTAATTTATAAATTAAACTTTGTCACCAGTATTCATGTTAAGTAAAAAATAACTAAGAGTGGTGTCACAAATTTGTAATCCCAGCTATTTGAGAGGCTGATACAGGAGGATCACAAGTTCAAGGTCAGCCTCAGCAATTTAGGAAGGCCCTGTCAAAATAGTTAATTAAATAAGTAAATAAAGGCAAAAAGTAAAAAAAAAAAAAAAAGGTCTGGGAGTGTAGGTCAGTGGTAAAGAACCTCTGGGTTCAATCCCCAGTCCCCAGTACCACAAAAGAAATGGGGAGGGAGGCACCAAGAAAAAAAGAAAAGGATGAGAGATTGATTTGGGCCTATCCATGGTAGCTAACACCCACTGGGGATCTTGGAACGAATATATCCTTCATGGAAAAGTGGGAACCATGGGGGCTGGGGATGTGGCTCACGCGGTAGTGCGCTCGCCTGGCATGCCTGCAGCCTGGGTTCGATCCTTAGCACCACATACAAACAAAGATGTTGTGTCCGCCGAAAACTGAAAAATAAATATTAAAAAATTCTCTCTCTCCTTCCCTCTGTTAAAAAAAAAAAAATGGAAAAAAAAAATCCTAAAAAAAGAAAAGTGGGAACCACTACACTCTACTTCAAAGTGAATTCAATTTTAGTGACTAGTTCTTTGATGAACATCAATACACCTCAGACTCTAAGATGGCCATAAATGAATCCATCTTATCCACTATATCTATCCCAAACATATATGGACCCTGAAATATAACCAACTTTTACATACGTGGACATGGAGCCTCAGAGAGCACTGGACCAAGGACACACATACGTCAGTGAGGGTGATAGGACCCTAAACTCTCTTATCATCCTACCTGCCTCCCACAGGGATGTTCTTGGAAAGGAAGACAGATTGAGATGTGCCCTCCAGGAAGGAATTTGCCTGTGGTGCCAGGTGTACCTCTCAGGCCTTTCCCTTGAGTCTCATGGTAGACCCATTCATTGCTCTCCTCTGCTTGTTACTGGTTTAAAGAAACCCCAAGATACCCTTGACCCACAACACAAAAGGGCAACTGTGGAGCAGATCTGAGCCCAAGACTTTGGGAACTGACCAGGGATAGATGAGACCAAGAGAACACCACAGGAAAACATGCAGTTTCTGTTCTGTTCAAGCGAGCATCCTAAGTATTCTCTCTGATCAGGCTCATCTCAGGGCTTGCAAGCTCCAAGCTCATAATACAGAGGCAGGACACAGATGAAGAGAGAAGTGATCTTACCTTCAGGCCAAGGTTTGGGAGGCCCTCCAGGGGGCTGACCAGGCATCCCAGGGGGCACACCTGAGGGTCCTGGAGGTGGCATGTTGGGCCCTCCCATACCTACATGCAGGGGGAAACAAAGAAAGGAGAATAAAATGTGAATTGTCTTCATACCCACACCTATTTATGAGCATCCTTGGCTGAGGGCACACACCTATCCACAAGCCCTTAGGTATAGATCTCAAGGGAAGCTGAAAAAATGACATTTATCATGACAACGACCTGGCCATCTGAGCAATCACTTGAGAAGCCCACCAACAACAGACTCAGGATCATCTATCATTGCTACCCAGGCTCTGGCCAGTTCACTCTGGACTTCCTCCCCACCCTAGGGACCAGGGATGGTGGGCCTTACCATGAGGCCTGCTGTAATTTGGAGGTGCTGGTCCTGGACCTGGGCCAGGGCCAGGCCCAGGGCCAGGGCCAGGTCCTGTGGCAGACACAGAGGGCGGAGGTAGTGTTGGCATCTGCTGTTGCATCCCAGGCATTGGCCGCTTTCCCTGCACAGCCATTTGCAGGTGGTCAGGAAGAGGTTGCCCCCTGGCCAGCATCTTGTAGGCCATTATCTGAGCTCGAAGCTGGTGCAGCTGGTTCTGGTTAAATGGGGTTGGGCCCCGGGTCTGCTGCCCCAAGGCCTGGGGGTCAGCACCATCTAGTGGGGCCCCTCCTGGCCCAGATGACATTTGGGGACCAGAGGATGGGCCACTGGCTGGAACTGGACTGGAAGCATGCTCAGAGCTGCCCAAGGGTGAGGGGTAACCTGCAAGGAAAGACCAATCCAATGGTCACTTGGCAGCATACATTTGAGATAAAGACAGAGACAGTAAACTGTTCTGTCATACCTATACTGTCTCATCCTCCAAGACACAGAATAGCCCAATGGCTTCATTCTCATGAGCCAAACACAAGGCACCCAGAGGACATATTCTCAACTCATAGCCTTGGCCTAGCAGCCCACATGGTCACGTGCTTTGGCCCATGTTTCAGTAGAGTACAGATGGTTAATGGTGAAGCTATGAATGAAATCTAGGATCTTTCCAGGCCTGCCCTCCTGCCTGGGCAGAGCAGGGTACATATCTTCAGATCAGCCAGACCCATTCCTCTCACTTCCATTCCTCAGAAGCCTGAGCTTCCTGTCCCTGATGCCTGGAATCGCTCTGCAAGTCATCTCCTATATCATTTCTCCGTCATCCCCATAAGGAAAAGCCAACTGGCTTGTAAGGCCGAGTCCTGAGCCCTGAGACACTATCTCCACTAAGCTCCCAGATGGCACTGGAGCTCCTAACAAGCTCTCCTCTAACACTCAACTCTGCCCACCATGTATGCTCTTCTAGGGTTGCTCCAAAACAAGAGGGCCAAAGCAGACCACCACCTAACCTCCAGACACTCTTTATGGCAGGGCCTTCCCTGGAGTTCAACTGTCTGAGGTCATCACAGAACCCATCTATGGGAACCCTGTTAGGAAAAGGGGTATACGGGCTCACTATGTATGACCAACACTAAGCAAGAAGAAATACAGAATAGTACCTTGGGAGTGCTGGTCCATGGGGCTGGGTGGGGGCCCCATCCCTGCGTGGCCCCCTGACCGCATCCCCATTCCTTTCATCTGGTTGTAGCGTGGGTCGTCCGACATGCCCTTCTCATGCATGGACTCCATAGGCTGCAAGTGGCCAACAATAAGGCAGAGTCAACAAGGGGAATAGGAAGAGGCGACACAGCAAAGCATCACTGGGAATAAGATGGACGACAACAAACGTCCACCCAATGCTGCCATAGCATCCACCGAGTCACCAACATGACCAAGGGCTCAGCTCCAAGGCATGGACACGATACCAAGGTAGACACACAAAATAAATGCCACCCAGTGTAGGGTGTCCAATCAGACAACTGGTGGCCTGGAGGCAAGGAAGCAACTGCACTAGGGTGACAGGAGAGGGCAGGAAGATGTTCTAGAGGCAGTCAGCAACCACAAGAGGAAAGGAAAAGACACAAGAAAGATCTTAGGGAGGGAGTGGTTTCATCCAGGACACAAATCTCACTGCTCATTGTGACTGGACAAAATATGAATCTGGGAACCAAGGACCCTCTTCTTTAGGGACTAGAAATCAGACAGACAGATAAGTCTGCACACAAAGACTGTAAAAACACGTCGGACGTCTCCCAAACTCTGCACCTCCTCAGTTGCTGGCAGAAAATGAGACTACAGACCTGTTCTAGCCCCCACAGGAGTTAAGGGCAGGTCTTGGCAGAATGATGAAGTATATGTCTCTCCTACACTCAGTAGCAGGTTATTCCTCCAGGGGAACCGCTGGCAAAGGGGATGCCATCCAAAATCTTTTTGTGGGCCCCCACTAGGCCTGGGTTAGCACAAGTATTCTCCTTTCTGGGAACTCACAGGTTCACGGCTGACAAAACAAACCTACAACTAACTCAATGTGTGCTGTGCTCAAGGAGAAGAGGGGCCAGGTAAGGGGAAGCTTCATGAGGGACAGGTTAAGCCCTCAAGATGCTGACCAGACCCAAGGTACGGGCCTGTCCCCATCCCTCTTTCCCTGGTTATGGGAGAGACTGAGCTCTGCGCAGTAACAGGCACCCTGTCAGCATGGTACCCTGATCCTAGCAGGGTGTGGAATATATGGCAGGTGTTTGACAAACATACATCAGAGGTGTACAGTGTGTATGTGCCATGCCAGGAGGGCAGAGAAGGAAAGTAGGGGCTGTGCTGGAGAAGGAGCTGGCGTATAAAACAAGAGTGAATGATAGGCCAAAGGGCAAGCGAATGATATGAACAGCACAGGGCTCCCTACCTTGTTACCAATAGTTTCCAAGATAGAAGGGTCAAGACAGATATTATACATAAGTTGAGAGAAATGTACAGGAGATGGAGAGGGTTGGCAAGGGAATGCCTCAATGTATTGAAGGCCTCAGAAACAGCACAAATGTAGGGAACAAAGAGAGCTCAGGGGGCGGCATCAGGAGGACTGCAACCCTGATTCCTTATCTATAAAATTTATGTAATAACCACCAGACCTAGTGGGTTTGGGGGTATTCAAGTGGAATAGTAGGGAGGTAAAGAGCCGTCAGTGCCAGGTGGTGGGACCCACTTCTAGACCCACCCCTCCACCGGTATCTATGCAGACCCCGGCCTCCTGAGGGCCCTGACAGAAATGTCGCCATTTCTTACAGATGCTGGTACATACAAGGGGATATTTCCTCCTCCAAGCCCCCTCAATGACAAAAAGGGATGTAAAATGACATAAAGGGAAGGAAATTAATGTATCCACTTTCCTAGCAAAAGCAGCTCTGATCAGCTCAAGTAAGAGGTCAAGACAGTGGCCCAAGCATAAGTTGTGGGCAGGGATTGAGGCACCCCTGCCCTGCTTTGTGAATTCCCCAGGTAGGCACAGCAGCCAAAAGGAAACCATGTCCCTTAAGCCTCCTTTAGTGATTCAGGCGTTTTTCTTTATTGTTGAGAGGAACTTCAGAGTACTGTTCTGAAAGTTCCCATGCAGAACAAGGCGTGCAGGGCATCCAGGGCGGCTGCTCCCCACTCCCAGCTCAGGACAGATTGTGTGCCTGACCCCTCTGTTCCCCACAACGGACCCTGGAGCAGGCGTCTGGACCAAAACAGCCACCACTGACAAGGAGGCTTTCCCACTGGCCTTCAGGGGAGGCTCAAGTTCAGAGGCTTCCCACAGCCTAGAGGGAAGGGGTGGGAGGCAGCCAAACGGCAAGTAAATGATATGAAGAGCACAGAGCTCCCTACCTTGTGCATCTGGTGCATGTTGTCCTGAGGGTACCCCCCAGGCCCTTGGGTAGGGATGGGGTGTCCTGCTGAGGGAGGCCCCGGGCTGGGCCCCATCATGCTGTGGGCAGAGCCTGGTGAGGGGCCTGGGCTGGGGCCCAGCATGGCTCCAGGTGAGGGGCCTGGGCCAGGGGAAGGGCCCGGCCGAGGAGTTCCACCCAGTGGTGGGTCTGGAGTGGACATCTTCACGGGAGGTGCAGATGGTGGTCTCCTGCTGAAAAGAAGTCCCAGTCATTCTAGGGGTTGGGGGAATGGGTTAGGCAGGTCAAGGGCAGCAAGGGAAGACTAAAAAAGTCATGTCAGAATCATCTATCTAACAGTGCCATTACCCTGACCTGCATCTTTTCTTGATTCCTTTTGGAGAAAGAAATACATCTCAGGCATATAAATCAAATCACAGTCCACCTAGGAAGGGGTGGCACATAGATAAGGGCCATGTACCACTGCCTTACTAGATTCTTCAGGTCCCTGTTCTAATCACAATGAAAAAAAAAAAAAAAACCTGAGGAAGTACTAATCTATCCTTCATACTGCTCAAATAATTGCAAATCTTCATATTTCATAACTAAGGCTCAAACAGCAGCTGATTAGAACTTCATAAATTCAATCAAAACCAATATTATGACAAGTGACACCCGTTTTCCACTGAAGGCAGTGAGAACAAGTTTCTTTAAAATAAATGAACCTGGGGGCTGGGGATGTGGCTCAAGCGGTAGCGCGCTCGCCTGGCATGCATGCGGCCCGGGTTCAATCCTCAGCACCACATACCAACAAAGATGTTGTGTCCGCCGAGAACTAAGAAATAAATATTAAAAATTCTCTCTCTC